AAATTGCTACGTGTGCGTTTGCTGTCAGGCAACACAGTAAGCAGCTGTCTTAGTTGATGCATCTTTTCTTAGGTTATGTTCTTACTTCTTGCTTGCATGTAACCACTGTGATGTGGCAGTGGTTAAGGACTGTTCTCTTTCTAGTCTAGTAGATTTTTCAGCCTGTTTCTGAGGTGGTCCAGTCTTGTCAAAAGCGAAATCTTAATGCTGAAGTGAATTACTGGGATCTCAGATCCTGTTATAGTCAGGCTGAAATCTTTGCATTCAGTGCTAGTATAAAGCCTGTGCATGCTTGACAGATCAAGCATATCATCAAACTAGCTTCTAAGAGCCCATGCCACTGAGTTTAACTTGATTCAATGACAGAATTGTATCTGTCAAATGGACAAAAGCATCCAATGGGCATTCTGTTAAGTAATTCAATTAGGCTGTGTTGCTGAGACACTGGTAGTGAGCTTGAATCATTTCAGAATACTTAAAGTTAGTTATTGCTTGGTAATACATTAGTATAAAGATAGTCTAAGAAGTATGCAAGAAAGATAATTCAGCTGTAGTTCCATTTTCTGCAGGCTGTGTACTAGGTTCCTGGAAGCTAACTTGGTTGCCTGTATCTTTTAGTCATTTCATAGACTTTACCTACCTAAATCAATTCTTTTCATCAAGATAGACACCAGCTGAGGTAAGCCAGTGTTCACACTGCAGCTCTCCTGCTAATGGAAACCGCAGCAGTGAAATATGTGCTGGGGAAGTGGATGAAGAAAGCATCTGCTGCTTAACAGCTGGCCTGTGTCTTCAAGGCAGCAATTACTGGGAATGACATATCCCTTTGCTGCTTATTTTGCATCTCTCAATGTAACTCATAGAAGAGCTGGTGATGCAGAACAGCTTAATAAAAACAATTTCCTAAGACAAACAAGACAGGGTGGGAGGAACTATAGAAAAGGACGCAACAGACCAAAATTTTCACAAGTTCATTCAACATGTTGCCATTTGATTTGTTCATTGTAAGGCATCATACTAATGTGTCACCAGCCTAAATATGCTCGTGGCAGAGGGGTTGGAACTAGATGATCTTAAGATCTTTTCCAACCCTAACTATTCTATGTTTCTATGTCTGATGTCATCATGACTTATATAATTTTTTCGGTTAAAGCTTGCACTGTCTCTAGTGTTCATAGTGTTGAAAATGATATTTCTTGTACTGGATGCATTTCTGCTAAATCAAAATGTGAATGCATCAAGTGAAAGGTGATAGAACACAGTCCAGTGTAGATAAAACACAAATGTATTTTCTAAAATTCATGACTGCCTTTCAGAGGTAAATTTGGGCATTCTGTAAATGATAATGAAGGAAGAAGAATTGTTTTGTAATGTGGAGACCCTACTTTATGCATGACTTCTGTATCTCATTCTTCAGGCACTTGTAGTTCTACATGAGCTCTTAGTCTATTATAGGCCATTCTTTTTGATGCTACTTGCATAAAGCATCCTATTGCACCTACCAGTCACAGTACAGTGCTATTCTATCTGTCTTTCAGATTAGAAAAAAACGTTTGAAAGATACTTTGGTTAAGTGTGTGTTTGTTGTTGTTGGATTTTCTGTTTGTTTGTATTTTTGTTTTTCCCCTTAAATAATTTCTCCTGTCTATTGTTAATTTGTCAGCATTAATAATAGGTAAAAGTTTTGGTAGGAAAACTTGGCAGTAGTGGTTTTATGCTTATTTTTACAGCTGTTGTTGTTTCTGGAGCTTTAGCAAAATACAGAACAAATTTCCTTGCTCAAATTCTGTCTTTGTCTTTGTGGCAATAGTGGAACATCTTTGAATTTTCCAGTCCTAGACTACTCTCTACACTATCACATTTCAATACTAACCATTTATAAACACAGTTTGGTTTGTACTGATTTTGGTGTGAATATAGAGAACAGGCTGAGATTAACTTTATTACATAAGCAACTGATTGCATGAACTAGCAACTTTCAATGAATTAATATCTTTCATGAATTCTTTCATGAATTAACAACTTTCCATGTCTGCAAATGTACTGTTCCCATTCCATTCCCCAATCTTGCCCTGAATAACATGATGTTTGTCTTAGATTAACACTATATACTGAGGAATTTCTGGATGATTTGAAGTAAAGTGTTCTTTAGGATGTTTGCTGGTGTAGACAGATACTTGAAATATGAGTAATGAGTAATGAAGCTCAGTACAAGCTACCTGGCAAAAATCAGGTACCTACCAAGGTAAAGGCATACAGTTTAAGAAGCTGTCTGACTGTTCAATGGAAAGTTCAAAATTCTTGCTGCCCTGTGGGAAATCTTAAGAGAAAAATGCCCTTGCAATATGTTGGTGGTGATGCACGGCAAGCCTAAGAACATCATAATGATGAGAAATTAGTGTTAAATACCTTGTTAACAGCATAACATGAGAATAGGTTCGTAAAAGACAATAGCCTTGTAATAGGTTTTCTGCTTCAACTTCTAGGTGGTAGATACTGTGTTACATTTGGCAAAAGGGTGCACAAAATTGCCATTTGGAAAGTATACAATGAATCACAGGCCTCTATTTTCTTTAGAGGGAATTTGTTGGTATGGAGAATTTCATTGATGTGCCCTGTACCAAGCAGATCCCACAGGACAGTAGCATTAGAAAGTCAGCAATGAGAAAAGTGGAGTCTACTGGAAAAGCCACTGTCTGCTTCATTCTTGCTTTGTACTTGTAATATATATAGGAATATTCCATCATAAGCATGTCATGTTAGTTGTCCTGTCATGCGGGACACTATTTACTATCTGAATCAGGAATCCCTTTGCAATTGTAAGTAATGAGAAGCTAAAGAATGGAAAATGTTGGTAAATGAAGGAAACAGGTTACAACAAAAGGTCAACAAAAATCCAAGAAAGGAGAAATCAACTTTGGAAAGATTCTGCAAAGGGTGGGCTAAATAAATTTTGAGCAGCGTTTATGTCATATGAATGTCACGTAATCTGAGAGTTAGTTGCAAGATGGTAGACACAGTGGGAATTCTTATGAGATGCCAGATACACTAGTTAGTACTGCAAGTTCTGAGATCAGTTGTGTAAGATTACTAGAAGAGGGCCTAAAAAAGGGAGTATGATAGCTTAAGCTTCATTTGAAAGTAGGTAGATGAATGCTTATCCTGAAATCGGTTAAGGAAACCAGATGGTCTCTGTGAATTCAAGTTGAAGTGTCTGTAAAAAGTCTGAATCTGGTAAAGGCGCTTTCATGTTAAGCGTAGTTCCAGTGTTTATCCACTTGTGAACTTGTATCTAATCAGAATTTTCCATTTTCCTGCTTGTGTCAGTTACCTCTAGCCTTGTCTATATCATCCCATTAAGTAGCAACGACAGCAGTCCATATGCTTCATAATATGTATGAAAAAATGTGAAGAAAAGGACATTATCAACACTTTAAAGTTTAAATCCTCTGTATATGTAATCCTCTTAGAAGCTTCAAACCTTGCCACATTGAAAAAGTAAATGTTTGTATTTTAGTCAAGCATTTACACTATTTATAAAGCATTTGTATTTTCTTGCAGAGAAAATGTATAGCTTACTATGATGCAAATAAAGAAAATGATTTTATGCAACTGAATTTATTTTTAAATCTGCACTTAAAAAGATATAAATTAAATTTTGCTATCAAAATTAAGGTTAAGACAAATGATGAGACTTCAGTAATTATTCATGGCTATTAGTGTTGGTTTTGCAGGCACAGAGAGCCCATAATGTGGTCTGTCAGTTCCATGAAAAAGGACTTTTAAGGGAACCGCTGCTAGCTGCCTTCTGGAGGATTGTCTGATAAGTGTAGTGCCTGATAAATGTAGCATGAAGAATTGATTTTATGAGCCAATAGCCCCAGAGTTAATGTGTTACCAGGATTGCTAATAGTCTAATCTTAGTTTTAGATGCCCATTATTGTAGTTGTTGTTAGCCATGAATTCCCATCAGAGCTGTTTTGTCAGACTAGGCTTCCATAATGGTGGTGCTTTTATTCAAAGCAACTGTATTTTTATTTTGATATATGTACCACTGTCACCACTGTCAGACCCTTTAATGAATTTTTTATTTTTTTTTTCTGGGAGGGGTGGGGGGGTGGTGTGGGTTCAGGCTCTTAGAGACTTAAAAAATGCTGAGAAACCTGGATCACATTAAGTAAAATGTTTATCTTGCATATATGATGGGCCCACTTAATGTATTTAACTGCTTTGCTCTCCCTGAGCCTCTCTGCTACAATCCCGATTATAATGGGGGGAAAGGTGAATGGGGCATTAACATTATCCCAGTATATATCTGCAGGTCAGCTAATGTTATTGTAAAAAAAAAAAAAAAGAAATTTGAACTATAAATAATAGAGTGTGGAAAATGTTTATGCGTCAGAAATTTGTCTTGCCAGGGTTAGGAAAAAAAATAAAAGTGAGAAAAAAATCTGAGAAGAAAAACAGAAAGGAAGAAAAGTAGCATGGGGGGTTTGTGTGTGTGTGTTTTCTTGTATTTGTTGGGTTTTGTGGGTTTTTTTTGTGTTTTTTGGGTGGTTTTTTTTTGGTGGGGAGAGGGTGTTTTGGTGGTGGGGGTTTTTTGTGTGTTTTTTGTTTGTTTTTGTTAGTATGTTTTTTAACTTTACCACTTTTGGAAAAAATTGTGTACATTTTTTCAGTACCAGTTGCTGGCAACAAAGAAAGTTCTAAATCCATGGGAAATTTTTTTGCATATTTAAAAGGCTGGTAATCTAATTACACAGCTAAAGTACAGGGAATTAGATTGCAGAATGAAATTCCCCCTTGTGTAACACTATCTGACTTGCAGTATGCCAGCAAACCATTTACTGGATACAAGCTGCTTGATTTTTTTTTAAACTAATTTACAAGGAAAGAAAAAATGGTTTGAAAATGCTAACAAAAAAAAAAAACAATCCCACCCATAGCGGTATAAAAAATATTCAGATTTTTCTCATCTTCATTTTTCCTTTCTTTGACAGTGACTTGTTATCTTCCAATTATGTGGAAATTCACTATGAAGATGGGAAACCAAAGTTTTCAAAGGTATTGTGCTCTTAAAATGTGTCAGAATGGTCTTTCTGAGGGAACAATGCCAAAAACAAAAAGCTAAAAAAAAGAAAAGTTTTGCAAAACATAAATCCACCAGAATCCTTTATTCACATGTGCAAGGTCTCCGTGGCCTGCTCTTGTGAGGTTACTTCAGTAACAGAAGAAATGTACAAAAAAGGAAAGCTGTATGTCGGGGTGGAGGGGTTGGCAGTGGTTCGTGGTGAAGATCCAGATGTTGCCAGAACAATCACATCTTGTAAAACGTAGAGGGTGGAGGGATTGGAGTCACCATCAGTATAGTCTTCATTAATTATTTACATGTCCTTAGTGCAAAGTGCAAGGGGAAAGTATAATGGTAATATAAGACATTCAAACAAACCAAGAAAATCTTGCAAGAATTACATAGTCATGAAGTGGAAAATGGAAGACTTAACTCCAGAGGCTAAGGTTTCAGTTATTACAAAACCAGCATATTGCTTGACATCCAATTAATTACATTTGTCAGACTAGCTCCCAAATTTAATTCAGTGCCATGGGCTATTGATCCAGTGACAAAGATTAAAGTTATGCAAGAAAGTTCAGCCCTGACTAAGGGAAACAGATCTGTCTCGTTTGTTGTAGTAATAAAATGAGGACTGGTAGGTTCCTAGGAAGGTTATAAACTACATTTTCAGGCAATGACTTTTTTCACATTTGGTATGAATGCTGGAATATTTGTTGTGACCTTATTACATGTGAAAGATAAATCTCTGGAGTGGAGGAAAGCCAGCATTCAAGTTACATTTATGCCTTCAGCAAGTTGACTGCTGTTTGTCCAAGAATTAGATATCTAGTTTATTATTTTGTCTTTGTTGTAGAGAGTCTCAAATAAAACAATATATTGCTGATTATGGCAAAATTAAACAAATATACAGATACAGAAATGTAATTATCGCAATATACTGTTTAGTTTTTTTCCAGTGAAGAAGAAACATAGTTTCACGTAACATAATGAGGAAGTTGTTTCATTAAGACTCAGGACTCTGCAGAATAGGCAAAAATGCTAAATGATGCAAGAAAACAATTCCCTCTGGCATCTAGACAAGCTCATGCAATTGTCAGCTGCAGGACTAGCATTGAGCACTGCGGTTGCTGAATCATGAATCTGGCTGGAAAATTATATCAGAACTTTAGACTCAGCAAATGGCCTAGCTTTGCATGCTGCAATAACTTGATCCAAACTTCCTAGGGGATGTTTTTTGAACTGATTTATTTAGAAACAATAATAGAGCTCCTGAGGTCACATTAATCTATAAAAGGCTTCACTATAAGCTCAGAAAATATATACAGAATTTGTGTAGGAGATCAAATAAGGACTGTATCCTGCTCTTTTGCAGTATTTTATAATCCTCTTTAGGCCTGAGTAAGTAAAATATTGTTTTGTTTCCTGATGTGGATGTAAAGAAGTGCAGTCTTGATGAAAAGTGTTGTATTTTCTAGAACGGGGTAATTTATTACAAGGGTGAAAACACTGAAGAACAAACAGCAATTTCTTTAGTTGGATGACTGTCTTTTAAGAAAATTCTTGAAAAGCTACTTGTGTGAGAGAATCACAATTTAGTTAAAAAAGCATGGCTTATGCATTCTCACTGATGGAAAAGTAAATATGTAGTGTTTACTTTCTGCGTAATACTTTGATTTTAATTATGCATGATAGTCTGTTAGGAATTTCATTCAAATCTGAATAACTCATTAAATAAGATGCAAAATGGAAATAATGCTTGCGCATGATTGAAGAAAGCATTTACGTTTTTGGTACTTACTTGAATTATGATTGCAGAAGCAATGGGTCCCATATGCTTGTTGGAATTCAAATGACATGACACCAGAATTAGGAATATTTTGATGGAGAATGGCATGTTTTTCAAACAGTGTGCAAGGCAACAACCACACTTAAGGGATTTTAATGAAACTTTTTGAGAATACTTTTTCTATTTAGTTTAGCTGGGGTTATTGTTGACAGGCATTAAAGACCACCTACTTAAATGAGGTAAATTAGTATCATTCAGTTTTCCTCAGTTTATCTTCACTGACATATAGCATCTGAATTTCTTTTATCTAACAGCTTCTAAATATACTGGTCTTTTTCTTTAGAAAAGTCAAAGTGCTGCTTTAGAAAGTCTCTTGGTTTCTTTCTAAACATTCATAGTTTGAACAGTCTGTTAATGTTGCTACAAACAATTGTAGGTAATTTACATGTTACTGGTTTTTGCATGAAAGGATGGGCCTTGTCAGAAACATGAAACATGATTGCTGACTTCCTTAGAAAAAAAACCCACAAAAATCCTGCCATTTTTTTAATAATTTGGTTTTTGCATCTGTTTGAAGTTCTCTGCAGTTAAAATCAAGAGTTGACTCCTAGCATCTTTTTGATATGTACAGTAAAAATGTGACTGCATACTTCAGTGTAGCGAAATGGGATTAACTTTCTGGCTCATTCATCAGTAGTAATATTGGTACCTACAGTCTAATGACATAATATTTTAGTTGATAAATTTTTAGTGAGACAAAATTGGTAGAATTCAGGTCTAATCCAAATACATGCCAGATGATTGAAAACTGTTATTAGTTGTAATTTTAACATACCTGAAAGGTTTCAAGAAACAGTTCAATGCTCGCGTAACCTGCATTGCATGACATTTTTACAGAATCAATTCACAGCAAGGAAATGCATTAAAAATAACAGGAATGCTGTGACTTCAACAAAAGAATAACCCCTGTTATGCCTTGAAGACTTACATGAGTTAGTCTTTAATGGGGACAGTTTTTATCTTAAAAGCAGTTAGGGCTAGTCATTGGTATTTCCTTTAGCAATCATTGCTTTCTCTGAAATTTTACCTAATACAAGGTGTTATGTCTTTTTTTTTTTTTTTTTTTTTTTGCCTTGGTTTCAAGCAACAGACATTAATCAGAGGAATTTTGTGTGTGTGTGTTTGTTTTTAAATATTAGGGTGGAGAGCATTGTTACTACCATGGAAATATCAGAGGTATCAAGGACTCCAGAGTTGCTATTTCAACTTGTAATGGACTTCAGTAAGTGCATGTTCTTATTTTTCAAAAAAGGCTATTAACTACTTATTACCCTTTAATATTATCTCTTAATATGCAAAGGACTGAAACTCTATAGGCCCAAAAATTTTTGATGTATTGAAATGCCAGTACCAGCTATGCCAAGCTGCTAACATTATTTTTTTAGTATCATTGGGATTAAAGTCTTTTGATGCTGTCTCATGAAACCTTTGAATGTTGTGTGTGCAAATAAATATTTAACCAGATGAACTAATATGGTAAAAAAAAAATTGTTCTTTAGCAGTTTACATGCTCAATACTCATGTATGATTGTCAGCCAATAGAAAAATTGATCTCTTTGACAGAGTGTACAAGAAAAAATATAAGACATTAGCCCTTACTCAGGTTAGTTACTGTTAAGTGCAACTCAGCTGTTGACTGTATTCTGCATATTAATGCATGTTTTAGGACTCCTCTTTCCAAGGTCAAATCTTTATTCTTTTTGATGCTTTATCATTACGTTGCCATTACGTTCAGTGATAGTTGATTAAAGTGTGCCTGATCTCTTAAAAGAAATTCTTAGCTTTAGCCACATGTGGTAGTAATGAACATACATGGAACTTATTTTAATACTAATCAGTTTGTCAGCCATAAGTTTCATTTTGTCTCATCAAAAATCAAATCCTGCAAGCAAATTAATTGCCATCTAATCTGAAATATCACTTCTTTTTCTCCATGTTCCAGTGGCATGTTTGAGGATAGTACTTATTTGTACTTGATAGAACCAATGGATTTGACCCATAGTGCCGTAAGTTTATTTTTATCTACTTTATTTGGTTTGAGAGAATGCTCGAGGAATAGCAAATGAGTGTTTTAGCATAAATCAGTAAATGAGTGACCTCTCTCATGCATTAGAATGAAAAACAAAAGTATTTTAAAACATGTGGAATTTATTTAAGGCAAGAAATGTGTAAGTATGAATTTCCTAGGATTTTATCCACTTTTCATTAATCTTTCTTTTCCTAGTTATTGTTCATCATTTAGATATTGGGAATACTAATAAAACTGTTTCCATAGCAAATGATTATGGACTGTCAAAAAGTGTTTATCAATTTGCTCTAGTATTTGAACTAAAGGATTTAAGAATTCATAGAAGGGATCTCGGAGTCATGTATTCATCCCTCTCTAGTTGGATCACATTGCTTCTGATTTACCGTATTTTCCCCCAAGATTTAGTGAAGTAGATAATTGCATCCGGGTATCTTGCACTTTATGTTTGTGAAGTCAGTAGTCACTGTACGGATTCAGGGATGCTGATCCAGAATATTCAAATATATGACTAAGCCGGATCAGCATGCAGGCCTGCATTTATGCAAATGTCTTGCTAGCTATTTATATGGTAATATAGCTGCTCCTAAAACTTTAGCTGTTTATTTATGAAACTGATGCAGTTTCATAGGAGTAAAACCATGTAGATTTCTACCTCTTGAATGGATCAAAGATTTGAGTGATCTTCAGTAAAATGATTCTGCAACATTGAGACACAAAATGCTTAAGGTTTGTATCCTGCTTGGTCTGTAGGATATATTCCAGATGCTGTGTCACAGCTCTCAAGCCTGTTTTGCTCTAGTATTTAGTGATGTATGACACACAATATAATGCTGCAGATATTATAGATACTATATAAAACTGTCTGCTCCCCAAAACATAAACAAAACCCAGCAAAATGTGTTCTTTTAATGCATTATATATTTCTTTTGGAAGTTCCAGAACAGTAGCATCCTACCCTTTGAAAGAAATTGCTTGTCTTGGCAGGCTCTGCAGAGGAGGTATTACAGAAGAAAAGATAGTTGTTTTCTGGAACAGATACCAATTTGTGATAATTTGGGGCTTGTCAGACTTCTAAAGAAAATATGCATTAAAAGTCTTCTCCTTTTTAACTGTTGTATACACCAATAAACAGGGTGAAATAATCCTCTTAAAGATAGTGCATTGATTAGTTTCTTGCATTTTGCTGCAATTAGAAAGATACATTTTTCATCATAAGTAGTAATAGTTGCTCTTCCTCTGCAGGAAGATTTCAACTGGGAATATACTCTCTAATTTGATGTATTGAAATAAGTGGTCTGTGTGCTCTAAGGCTTTTAAGGGACTTCTTTAAGTAATTTCAAAGACATCTCTGATACTTCCATTTTGTAGGCCAATAAACATTCTGAAGCAGAGAGGCTCCATGGTGTCCTCAGGATTGCAGATAGATTGCTTCACATTAATACTATGCCAAACTGGTACTATGGTTGCTTGCATTTTATGGAAAAATAATGAAAATAATAAATACTGAAAGAAGTGCCTGACTTTTCACTTGACATTATTAATTAGAAGGATATGTCATATATTTTTTCTTATCAGGAAAGTAAAAGTAGGCCACATACCATCCAAAGAACACAAGCCACCAAGCAATTGCAGGACCTTGGTATGATTTTGCTTATGTTACGAGTTTTTCAGTATTGAAAATAATCGTGTATATAACTTGAAAAATTTGAATATTAGGCTAACCGTCTATATAGAATTGCTGATTATTTAGAAAAACTTGAAGAGCAGATACTAACCTGACTTTTTTCACAATTACTGCAATGGAGTTTAGATTTGTCAAAAAAAACAGGAAAATCTGCCTGTATTTAGCTTTCTTCTGCAAATCATTTAATTATCATCAGTGATATTAATGCTATTGAAGTCATGAGATGGAAGAAAACATATATTCTAAGCCCAGGTTGCAATCTTTTTACCTCCCCTTGCATGCTTTAATTCTAAATTACTTGAGGTTTGATAAGAGGTACTTTACATTTTGTGGACTTAAAAAAATGAACTTTTCAGTAGCAGAGGTTCTTCTAATTTTAGTGATCTAATTTTGGTTTGGACAGTGTACATAAGTAGTTTAAAATAATGCCATGAAATTCTTAAATTGTAATTTGTACAGAGACTGAATCTAGTTCTGAATGGCCCTATCTGTCTGAACTACAGTGGCTGAGGAGAAAGAGAAGAAAGAGAGCAGTGAGTAGAAGTGACCCTGAGTTAAGACCATTTATAAAGCCAAAACCAAACCCACTAATTTCCAGATTTTTAATGTTGAGAGAACATAGGCTTTAGAAAATAAATATTTTTGGTAATTTAATATTGTCTTATAATACAGTTATCAAATGATAAATCAAGTATTTATAGAGTATTTGGAGAAATGTGAATAACCTTTCTGAAGTGACAGCAATACTATATATCAGCTGAATGGAAGTTAGTAGTGAAAATGAGTTTAGCATTTTGAGTGCGCTTGAGGGTAATGAATAATTTTGAATGAAATCTTGCTACTTTACAGCTGCCTGACATTATTTTCATTTGGCTTGTTAAGTGGCATGATTAAATTAAAAATTCAAACAAGGACATGCAGAAGGGGACAGTCCTCATGATCTGCACATGCATATGTGTCAATTTAGGGATTAATTGAGTTAAAGAAAATTAATCTGGAATTTTTCACTGAGTTGCACGATACTCAGCATATTTTTTGAGGATGCAGCTATTTTTAGTAACTTCCTTCCTCATTAAATCTGTAGTCCAAGAGTTTTTAGCGTTTAAGATTTTCTCCTTTGTGAAAATAAGAGGAGGGAAGCAGTGGTGGCTTCTATGCTGAACGACAAAGAAGAGGCTGTAAATGCTCTTAATGATGTGACTCAGATTCTCAGCCAGTGTCTATCATAACTTCCTAAGTTACTGGAGCTATGATTATTTACTTTAGTTGAATGTCTGACCCAGCTGTTACAGGTTTATGCACCCTGTGTAATATTTATGGGTAATCCTATTAAACCAGCTGCAGTAATTTTTTTAAACCGCTACATTGTCATGATCTCTCAAAGAACTTTTTCACTCCATCAGGTATCTCGTGGTGTCTTTGAAGAAATGAAATATCTGGAGCTCATGGTAGTCAATGACCATAAAATGGTAAGTATATCAATTTAGTGGTACTCTTCCTTTTGCTTATACTTTGTAGTTTGGTGTACAGCATCAGCAGCATCAGCTACTCTTGGGACAAATATTTAGTTAATCAGCAGCTGTTAACATTTGTACTGTTAGACACAGTGTAGACCATAATACCTAGTAATGTTTAATGTTGACTAAAGTTTTTTTACAGCAATTATATATTCAATATACATCTGAAACACTTTGGTATCATATGGATGGATAATATACCCAACACCAACAAAGTAAAGCAACAAAATGTTTATGTCCGGAGCAAATACACTAAATATTCTAAAATTACATCCTCTCCTTAAAGTAATAAAGAGGTCAGAATTTGTAACTTTGAGTTTAGTTTTACTAACTTAAATTTTAATGCAGTAAAGCATATAGACAAACCTATCTGATTGTTTTTCCTGGCTATTCCACACTTACAAATATGAATCATAATGAAGTGCAAGATAAGTTGGGTTTTGATTCAGAAAGTGTTTGTCATTTGATTAAAGAAAGGGACAAGAGGAGCACACTTTCTTTTCCTTTTTGTCTTGAGGGATGACTGGAAAGAAATCAGACATAAGTGGCATTAGTTATTTAAATGTTACTGCTTTCACTCATTATGCCAAGTAAGGCTATCAAAGTGTCCATGTGTTAGTTACCTTTATGAAAAATCAGGAGAGAGAGGCCTGGGGAGTAGTAAGTTTTATAAACCTGAACAACTATGTTATAGACTCTTTTTTAAAAGCAAGACAAATTTGACTCCAATAGCTGTATTTTAACTAGAGCGTACCTCTTATAGGAAGATACTCGGTGTAGATTAAAAAAATTTCTAGTAACAAAGAATATACTGCAACTGAAAAAATAACTCAATTGTGCCTTGTTCTGAGCCCTTCACTCACTTAGCTTTTTCTGCTGTTCACTAACAAGCAAATAAGGATCATCAGCTCTTAGTATGACTTTGCTTACGTGTGAGCAAGGGCTTTTTTTTAAAAATCAAGTTCTGTTGATAAAAGCATCTGCTTCTTTTGTGTGCAAGTAACATAAACTTCTAAGTTTCTTTAAGAGCTCCTTGCATCGCTCCTCTAATGCTTATGGGCTCTTTTGTCAACACTGAAGGATAATTTTGAAGAGCCAGAAATAGCAGATACTGGAACAGGATGCAGCATTCTGTACTTGTTCCAGTGCTGAATAGACAGATAATAAACCCTTCCTTCATCTGTTTAATAAATCAGAAATAGTCCAACCAAAATAACCTATATTTAATCTGTGTCGCTTCAGCAATGTGGGGGGATTTGAATGGGTGGAAAGAGTAGGACAGAAAACTGTTTTCACTTGTAAAGCCACCTGGTAGGAAACCGTGCTAAAACGTGAATGTGTGTTAGTTTTTTAGAGTAGGGCACAGTAACTGAAGTTTAGGGACATTTTGTTCTCTTGTTTGAGGTCTCTAGCTGGTGTTCCTTATGAAGAGATAATATTTCTATATCTGTTTCCTCTGGCCTCTCATATTGTAGATGTGCTTAAAGGACAAACATCCTGTTCATTACACTTGCGCAGGCACTAACTTTAGACCACAAGCATTCAAGTTTTTTTCTTCAGAGTTGTCAGTGGCTCAGAAGCAGATAATAATTGTTTTCAAGGAGTAAGGTACATATATTTAAGGAAGTGTTCACAAGTACGAGTTAAAGCCTGACAGTCCAGGACCTCACAAAACACACTTGTAAGGTTTCCTGCTTACTACCGGTAGAGGGCAGCAATAGTCTGTGAGGAAGTATCTTCTATCTCTTTGGCCATTGTGTTGTTAAGTGGTTAGTACTATGTATTTTGGCAGAATTATCCTCTCCTGTAACACTAAAGGCACAGCTAAACCTATCTAATTAGATTGTTGCACTTTTTACTGACTTACTCAGGTTAATTTCTGTTTTAGAAGCTGTGTTTAAACACATTATGTTGTATATTGCTGTTGATGTGGGCTTTTAAATACTTTAATGAAAACCAAGAACATTTTCTGAATATTATTTTCCATATTTTACCATTCTACTTCTGGGAAAGCTTTGGATTGGCTCAAAACAAAAAAAACAAAGTCACCCTTCTTCATTCCCACATTATTTTGCTCTAGTATCATGGTTGTCTAGAGAGCAGAGTCCTGTGATACAGATAATCTTCTCAGTGTACATCCTAAGCACCTACTAGCACTGTAGCTGAAAATGCTTTGTTTTGAGGATAGTTATGGGGAGAGGGGGTCTCTGCAAACCTATGTTGTAGTATGTTTGGATAGTAAAACCTGCTGCATTCTGGAACTTAACAATGAATAATTGTATATGTAAAAAATCGATCTTCATGCTGTCAAATGAACGGCACCACTAAGTTTGATGAAGTTTGTTATCTCTGTGGCATTTTGTCCATATAAAACTAGATTGCTTGTGCAAAAATAACTGGAATTTAAAGGGATGGAAAAATTGTTATATAATAATAGTGTGTGTCACCTGACTTTCAATTTGAGAAAGATTATTTAATTTTAAAGGACTATATATCTTTCAGTTTTACTTTCTCCTTCACACCAAACATAATTCTGTAAAACTGGGCATTTGTCTATAATTCTAATTTGGGAAGCTAGCTAATTGTCTAACTTACTTGATAAGACTAACTACTCAAGTGCTCAGAGAAGAGTCAGACCCTCTTCTTTTGAGTCCTGTTTTGGGGTACTGTGTTTTGGAGTGCGAATAGCTGAGACTTCCATGAAACTTTATAATGTTTGCTCATGAAGTGATGACATTTGTTGCTTTTAACCAGTAGCTGGAGTTTAGTCAGAGGTTTTTAATGAAGACTTTGTTCTATGCAATTTTGAGTTCCTTTTCTGTGAAATTGTGAAGACTTATTTTCTTGTTTGTAAATCATATAATGCAATTTCAGTTTATCATTTTACAGTTTTTCTGAAAGTCCTGGATTCGTGTTTAGATACCATAGCAGCATCTTTGAAAAATCTGAGTTGGAACAGAGGGGACTTGGGCAGGAGGGGGAAAGGCAGGAAACAGTTGTAATGACATGCACAGAAATTAAGAAGAAGCAGAATGGGTAATACAGCACATCTAAGTCTCTAGAAATGGAAAATATTTGAAGTTAAAACTGAAGATACTCAGCTTAACTCTTTCCATATTCAAACATAAATTTACTTTTGCCTTTTGCTATACCTAGTGCTACTTGTCTTAAAAGTCTTGTCCTAAAGTACAGAAAGGATGCCTTTGCAAAGAGCTGTACATAGGACATGGGGTAAATACTTCATCTTCATGTCTCGTAATTATAGTCATGGAGCGTGGCTAGTACAGCCTGATATTTAACTCATCAGGTTAAGCACACAAGGTACAGCATTCGCTCAATTTTGAGCTCATGTTTATATTCGTGTTTACCTGTAATTTAGTTTTGAATGTTTGATCAAATAGAATATTTCTTGTGGCTAAATGCTCCTTTTATGGATGTGAAAGCCTATTAGCATATATGGCTTTCTGTATCTTCCAGGGATTCTTGAATATGATGCGATATAGGCTGTGATCTGAAAAGCTTTTTGAGTTTTTCCCTTACTCTTTCATAAAATATTAATTTTCCTTTCTTGCTTTAAAAATAAAGAATTAGTAATTAATACTTAACTTTTTACTGTGCTCTACTTTTCCTTTTAGTTCAAAAAGCACCGTTCTTCAAATGCATACACAAACAATTTCGCAAAGTCTGTGGTAAACCTTGTAGATGCTGTAAGTATCAATGTTTCTCCTGAAAACTGTATAACTGACCTTGTTAGTTTAGCACTGTATTTAAAATTTCAAATTAGCATATACCAGGATTAGAAAAAAAAGCAGCTATAAAAATTACATTTTAAAACTAATTTCCAGTTCTTCTGCAGAAGAATAGGCTGGGGTGAATGCTAGTCACTGCTTGCTTATTCATTATCATTATCTGTCATAATGGCAGGAGGATATTTTCAATTAATGTTGTAGGCATAATTTGGCAAAAAGATAATAAAGGTATATATTTAATATGGTGCCTCATGGAAGTGACCAACTAACTTGCCTTCTGTGTATTTTATGCATTAGGCAGTCAATATATTAATTATCCAGTGCTTTCAGATCAGAACTCTGTTTTTTATGTCCCATGTAAGACATTTTATGGGCAGACTGTCTATTGCAGATGAGGAATACATCTTTTGTAGATCTGCAAGTTCTGAATAACCTTAGTTAATAAAATTTGTCTATTTATGACCTGAACCTAAAGGTCATTTTTATTTCAGAACCAAGTTTTATTTCAGAATCAAGTTAAAATCTATATTTTAAACAGTTGTGTAGTTATTAAGGCCTGATTGTCCTTGTCTATTGCTACAAGGACATTAAAATAAATAGAAAAGCTAATATTCTTACCTAATTCTCACATTACTTGAGTGGTATTAAGTGATCATAGTATAAATGAAAATCAAGCATTATGTGAATTAAATTTTAGATATATTGGAGAAATGAGAAATGATTTAATCTTTGCTTAAGAATTGGCTTTGGCTATTCTTTGTCTTTGAGATCTTTCTGTTCTTTTTCTTTGCGATCACCCAGTGTACCTTTACATTTCTTCTTTTTGTACAGGTTTTCTGCAAAACTCAGTGGTGAAATTATTCAACATGAGAATTTTAAAGAAAAAGGACTTGCTCAATAAAAGGGCAGGAAGGGGTTTTTTTTGACCACTAAAATACCAAATTTAAACTGATCAGAATATTAACTTTTTGGAAGTCCAAGACATTACCAGCTAACCATTTCCCCATGTTTCCCTCCTGCTTTATCCCTCTTGTTCTTCCGCTTTACTCTTACTGGCTAACTGTGCATGTTTGACCCAGTGTTCTACTCCTGTGCCTGTCCTGTCTCTGCCCCCAGATATACAAGGAACAGCTGAACACCAGGGTGGTTCTTGTTGCTGTGGAAACTTGGACAGACAGAGATCGTATTCACATTCACCCTGACCCTCTGCAGATGCTTCATGATTTCTCCAAATATCGACAGCAGTATATCAAACAGCATGCTGATGCTGTGCACCTGCTCTCGTATGTACCATTATACAATGCTCCAGACTATTATAATTTTATATACTTTTTTGTCTGCTGCTTTTGCCAACCTGTTTTTTTTTAATTTTTGCTTACTTCTTTTGCTTGGTATTCATCTGCCTGCCTTAGGAAACTTAATCTATTTTTTTGACACCTTAGTCTATTTTTAATAGGTAGAGTATATACCAAGGTCATGTTGATATGTATCTGTAATGAAATTTGAATGTCTTTGCAACCTGGAGATGTTCCATATTTGAAGCATCTTCTGATGATCCCTTAAGGACACATAATTTCGCTAATCAGGTGTGTGTCATGTACTGTTTTCCCAGTAAAGAGCAGAAGAGGGCAGAGCTGACAGTAATATGTATTGCCACAAGAACATTCCAGTTGCTGTATTAATTTACATGCATAGCTGCACTGATGGTTAATGGAAGGTCTCCTCCTCTAAAGCTGTAATGAATTGTTTCCTGAGAGACAGTGCTTTTTGAGGGGAAGTTCCATTTGTATCATTAGGCACCACATCAACGTTGAGCAACAGTATTTTTTTTACTTGACATCATCGTAAAGGAATAGGAGGAAGAGTATGCTTTCCTGTGCAGCATAAAGATCATAAAATTATAGAAGCAGAATGGTTTGGGTTGGAGGGAACCTTAAAGATGATCTAGTTCCACCCCCCCTGCCATGGGCAGGGACACCTTCCACTAGACCACGTTGCTCAAAGCCTCATCCAGCCTTGCCTCTAATACTTCTAGGGATGGGCATACACAACTACTCTGGGTAGCCTGTTCCAGTGTCCCACCACCGTCATAGTGAAGAATTTTTTCTTAATATCTACTCGAAAACTCCCCTCTTTTAGCATAAATCCATCCCTTCTTGTCCTGTCATTACATGCCATAGTAAGAAGTCCCTCTCCAGATTTCTTGAAGGCCCCCTTTACGTATTGGAAGGGTGCTCTAAGGTCTCCCCTGAGCCTTCTCTTAAGATCTTAAGCCTTCTCCTATGATCTTAAGCCTTCTCCCAGCAGCATGACATACTACAACAGCAGAGTGGGACGTGCCTTCCATGTGATTCTCCTAGAACATTCATCTTCTGCAGAGGAAGATGAAAACACAGGATGAAGAATTTCCTCCAGGCTCTGTCGTAGCTGTACTGCCTTGATGCAGGCATTGCAACACAATGCTAATAGCAAAGTGCTGATGATGTGCACTCTTAGTTACTTCTATGCGTACATTGTGTCACTTGCTGAAGAGTTTGCTGGTAGGCTCTTCTCAATGGTGAGCAGTGAAAGGTCCCAGATACAAACTGGAATACAGGAAATTTCATTTAAACACAGGGAAAACCCCTTTCACTGTGGAGGTCAAATGCTGGAACAGGTTGCCCAGGGAGGCTGTGGAGTGTCCATGCTTGGAGATATTCATAAGGTAATGGAACATGGCCCTGAACAGCCTGCTCAAGCTGAGCCTCCTTGGAGCAAGGGGGTTGAACTAGACCATTTGCAGATGTACTTGCCAACCTCATCCTTTACTGCGGTTCTGTCTGTTATAAAGCATCCAGCTTTAAGCATTTGGTATAGTTACGCTACGGTTTGAAAGTTCTGATGACTGTCAGAATGTTTTGAAATAATAACTATATACCTGAATGAGTGTCATGTATTTTAATAAAACAAAAGGGATGTTGGTTCTGTTTTGAAAGGATTTAATTTTCAAAGACTAGAGGCGTTTACTGTGCATGCCCAGGGCTGTGTAGTTTTATTATTATGCATTTGAAGTTAAACTATTATGAATGATACCTATTTTATAGACATTTTATAGAATACTTTATATCCAGATAACATTAACTTAATTAAATTATTTGGGGCTTATGAATAATAAATGAAAGGAGGCAGGGTTAAAGTGCAGTATTAAAATACTTTTCCTTTAGGTGTACTTCTCAGTGTTCTTATTTGGAGTTGAAACAAGAACCTGAATTGGTTTGCAGAAGAGCATAATTAAAAAAAATTCTCAATACTGGTACATTTCAGGACAGAATTCCTTCCTGACAGGTTATGAACTGGAATATATCCTTATATTTTTAAAGGAAATGTTATGATTGTATGCTCTTAGGAATCTGGTACTCTGGCTTCCTCTGCTTGTTTGTTTGTGGGTTGGGACTGATTCTGACTCTACAAGATAAAAATACTATTTTTGTCAAAGGTTGTATCTCATAAACTCTTTTGATGTTTGTGTTCTGTTTGTAAACTTGCAGTTGCTTTTGATGCTAGATGAAGTTTAATGTGCATGCAGGATATCATAATATGTGTGAAAATGATCTTTCAATAATAGTACCCAATGTGAATGTGTTTTTTTTCTCAATTTCTTTTTGTAAGGAATGTGACATTTCATTACAAAAGGAGCAGCCTAAGTTACTTTGGAGGGGTTTGCTCTGTGACCAGAGGAGTAGGAGTGAATGAGGTAATTTTTTTTCACTACTGAAATTAAATAAAATAGAAACTGTATATTAAAACCTCTGAGTTTATTTCAGTGTTCAGGGCGTTACAGACAGAAAACCTAATTTAACTAAAAAAGTTCAGATTGTCACAGCCACAGCCAACCTTCTTGTGTCATCATTAAACTACTGCTCACTGTGCTTTTCTTTTTAAAAAGCAATCTTCCTGTCTGCATTATTCTCTTACTAAGATCTTAAATTGGCTTGTAGTACGTATGTCAGAAATTTAGACCCAAAATTCTCAGACAGGAACATTTGAAATATAGCACTAAATAGAATTTTGAGTCTTCTCACTACAAGAGGCTTGATCTGCTGATGACATGTAATTCTTACTGGGGGTTTTTAACATTAAAACTAGAAAAAATGAGTTCCTTTGTGTGATGATGATGATGATGATGATTCTTATTTTCTTCAGTGCAGTGTTAAATCAATAATGAAAATCTCCTGTTTTAACATACAATGATCATATGATACAAAACTATTACTTATATATCAAGCAGACTCCTTTCTGTTGGTTAACCAATGGAGAGGGATTCCCTACGGTTAAGAGAGGAGGTGTTTTCTGTTACATACTTCATTGTGTTTATTTTCCTTATATGCACACAGAATTATGCTGAAGTAGTAGGTGGGTGGTAAGCCAGAATGAGCTGGTGCAGTGTTCATTAGAATAACTTACGTTTGTTTTGGTTTTTGTGTTTCTTTTTTTTTTTTTTTTACTTTTATTTTATTTTTGTTGGCTTTTGTTTTGGTTTTTAATTTTCCCTGCACTCTTCCTGAAACGCAGTATGGCCTCCCTTTGGCCATGGCACAGGAATTAGCCCAAAGTCTTGCTCAGAACCTTGGAATACAATGGGAGCCAGCTGCCAGGAAACCGAGTATGTACACTGACATAGAGTCTTCTTTTGTTCCCCTTAGCTATACATATATATAAACTCCTCCTTTGTAATATTTGACACAAATACCAAACTGGCTGTATCTGTAGAGCAAGAATTACTGCTTTTGAAAATATATGCACCAAATTTGAGGTTAACCAAAATAAGAACCACCAGTTTAGTACTGATTTTGCAATGACCTTAATGATGTCCTGTGTCTGGAGTTTAGATTCGTAACCAACTTGCAATGGTATAATGGTAAAAACACCATTAATTTAGCTCAGAACTCCTATCATAATGAAATTTCCTCTAGTACTATCACTGACTTCTTAAAATACAAAAATACCTGATTTATGGTAAGAAGCTGTAATCTAGTTGGCAGTGACATTTGCTCAACTTGTTACCTTGCTGCTTCACAGCCAGAAGATTAGACTGATGTGGCCTTAACACATTGAGAGTGTGGATGCAAAAGCTGCTGCAAAAGCCCCTTTTGGGGCTAAAGAAAATGGTTGGGTTTTTCCACTTGCATCTTGTAAGCATCTTGAAACAGTGTGGATTTGCAGTAGTAACTAGAATACAGAACCTTTCTTTGAGAAAATATTACTTCTTTGGTAGATTATAGGTAATTTGTAACTTTTGTTTTACCAGCCATAAGGTATGAATTTGGTCACTGTTGGCTTACATGCTGTAGCTGCAAGTAAACTGTAAATCCATTTTCATTCAACTACGTTTTCTAATGAATGTTTGATTGGCTGATTCGCATATTACTATGAATAACTACACCAAAGGAAAAAACATGGCCTGTCCAGTAGCAATTTTCCTTCAGAGTGTTCTGTACATGTTTTAGGGAGGAGGAATCGTGAACATTTTTAATCATCATTATCATGTGTAGCACACATACCCCTGTGCTGCCTGTTTTGAGAGCAGGGAAGAGCCTTGCCAGCTATTTTTATGCTGCCTGAAACTTTGTGTTGAGTTTTAAGAATGTGCACATACAGTAATTTGAAAGCACCACGTTATATGAAGTATATTAGCATCTCTTCAAGTGGGCTGGTTTCCTTTTTAGGGCTAGAATCTGTAAGCCAAGCAGCCATCTAATCTCTGTATAATGATTCAAGGTCCATTTTTATAGTGAGTACCTTATGTTCATTCTGAGCGTATTTGTAACTGCTTTCCTTTTCTGTTGAATTTGGTCTTGTCTGAGAAGAGTGTGACTGCACTGAATCCTGGGGTGGTTGCATCATGGAGGAAACGGGGTATGTCATAACTATCAGTAATTGAGGGCTCTGGAATGAATTCATAGCATACATAAATATTTATGTATTGGGTTTTGTTCATGTGGTTTTGTACTAACAAATGAGAAATTAGAAGCAGTTGGAACAACCCAAATATACAGATCAATTATTTCAGTTTTCAGTAGTTCATTCCCTTCGCTATTCACATTTTAGGGTGTTATTCATAAATCTTATATTTTGAAGTGCAGTGTATTGACTAATGCTTTGCTATACTTGTAATGATTGAAAAGTAACAAATGTGTGTTTTTCATGAAATAAACCCTGTTATACTTTTTACATGCAGCTGAAAAAGTGTTAGAATACAGTTTTGGTAGCACTTATCTTTTCCTCCTGAATTTTAGATTCCCTCCCCCATTCCTTCAAAATTCTAAATTTGAGTGAACAGATTTTTCTACTTCTGTTCCAGTGAATAGAAGGAGATGCTGGAAACTTTCAGCAATTGTTCTTAATCCTTAGCTAAACAGTCAGTTAAGTCTGAGGGGGAAGCACATCTATATGGGAGGAAACCAGGTTTCATCGCCCTTTGCTCTCACACTCTCCCAGAGATTCTTTTCTGTGTACTGTAAGCAATTGATTAGAAAAAGTTAGCTTCTGAAACATAGCTTTTTGAGTCTTACAAATCACTTCCTGTCAGAATTCCTGCACACTGTGGAAGTTTGGATGCAAAAATCATGGAGAGAATTAGTTATAAATAAGGCAGAAGGTGCTTAGTTTCTTCATACTAAGCATGAAGGAACTGGTTCTTAAGTAGAACTACCATGTGGCTTTCCTGTAGATTTGTAGTTGCCAGCCACTGTATGAATGCAACAGAAAATTATTCAGAAGTTTGCCTCTGGAATCCAAAGTAAGGCATTGACCAGAATACTTCTATTCACCAGTTTCCCCCCTGTGGTGAACTGGTCAGAGTATCAGTCTTGGGTGGAGATACTGGTGGAAGGGGTTGTGGAACAAACCTCTTGTGTATCTAGTATGCTAAAACAAAAAAGCCAGGAGCAGATGACAGTCGCCCAGAAGCTGAAAAAGGGTTGACTTCTGAACTAAGTGAATAACAAACTGCAGTGTAAAGCCTCGTCACTTCATCAGTGCCTGAAGGTAATTTTTATATATAGAATAATTAAATGGGGAAATGTCAGCTCAGTATCAGTGAGCTGCTAGGAGGGGAATGAAGAAAATCCTTATGGCATGGTTACCCCGTCTGTAATAGTGTGCATAGTTCTCGTTCCCAGATCTCAAAACGTAGCTAATAAAAACATCAGACAGTTTCTGTGTGAGAAGTTGCTGATAAAGTATGTTTTCATCAGTAAATATGAGAGAAGTTTATAACATTGTGAACAGTGTAGCAGATGATTCTTTCTTGCAGTGTAAGAAGTAGGGAGACAGGAAATAAACAAGAAAAACAGGTGACGGAAAAATCAGGATGAAATTGTTTTCCTATCAGTCTATAATTAAGCTGTGAAACTTCCTGCTACAGCACCTTGTAGATGCTAAAAGATTTAGGGCAAATTCATGGAAGAAAATACAGTCAAGATTATTAAGTAAGACAAAGTAAGTCTTCCTGGGAATGTCATTGAGCTAAAAATCTTTGGAAGCTGGAAAACCATTCTGCAAATAGTAGTATAGTACTCTGCTCTTCTCTGGGCATATTCACAGGGCCAGATGGGATTTGGGTAAAGTGGATTTTTGTTCTGACCCTGTACAACTGTTCTTAGTTACTTTTACTTTAAAAATTAAGCTTATTAACAGGATCAGAAGAATTGAACAGTTTTAAAACCCTGGCATAAAATCAGGGAGTCCATCTTTTAAACTGAAGCTGCAGGGAAGATAAACCCAAGAGAACGCTGGATTATGCATGCAATTGAGAGGGTGCATAGCAGCTGTTATGATAATGTGGCTTCACCTTATTAAGAAGACAACTACGATTTCATATACTGTGGATCCATATAATAGAAATATAAAAATGCAAAATATTAGGGAACTTTCTTTTTTGTTCTGATTTTGTTTGAGGCTAAGATTGAGCTGACATCCTGTTGCACACAGTGGTTGTAAGAAACTGGGATTGACAGTATTAAAAAATGTTGTGACCCCTCTGCCCCCCTGCAGTAACTGTTGATGTCTCAAGGCATTTACTCAGCTGTTTCTTTGCCATTTTAGGGTATACCATTCCAGGAAATTCTCCAAATGCAGCATTGCAGAATACAAAGAGTTCTTACTTCGTGGCGGAGGTGCCTGCCTTTTCAACAGGCCAACAAAGGTAATAAATATGTTTGTAGTCAGCACATCTGCTAAATTTATCCAGATGTCTAGGCGGGTATTTTCTTGACATTCCTTGTAAGCAGCTGACTGTTCATTCCAATAACATTTCAAATTAATTTCGAGAGGAATGCAGCTTGTTTTCCATCAATTCTTCATGCTCAAATAATGACAGATATTACAGATGCTTTTTTTTTTCGCAGCCAGGTACACCCCCGTTCAGCATAAATGCACTACTACTTAAGAGGGAAGTAGTGCAAAATGAATCCAGAAGTGAGGTTGTAATGCATGCTCCACATATACTTAATTCTTGGACTTTTTGCCTGAGGCTGTTAAAAAGAATGTCAGTTACCACACCAAGAATTAGAAATCAATAGTTTACTTCATACAGACAGTAGCAGCTTGTGGTTGTTCTCAAAGTTATCTTAATTTCCTTTCAGATGTACATCTAGCAAGCTCTAATTTATAACTGTTTCCTTACACCATCCACTGCTTTTTCCGCCTAAAAAATTATCACTATCATATTTTTTGCTAAGGCAATATTAGCATGACATCCTTCTAAAGCTGAGTTATATAAACAGATTCAATGTGGCTCTTTTTGCAAAGTAAGACCAATCCAAAGTATTAATATTCCACTTAATCATGGTGTCAAACATGCTGTCCTTGTAGAATTTAGTACCACGTGAGCCTATTGGGCTGTTCTGTTTACTGTGCTGAATGCCTTGGCAGACCACCACCTTGCACAATTAACCAAAACGATTTTGCTTGTTAGAGTGTTTTTCAGTCTTTTCCCAGGGTAGCAAGCTTTGCTTATGGAATAAGAATGTAAGAATTCGTACAAGAAAGAGTGAGCAAGGAGAAAAGCAAACATGGCTTCATTTTCTGATGCTGGCTGTCGAGCAAGATAATGTGAACAAGTTGTCAAATTGACTGTATTTAGAATAGAAATCTGGTTTACTTAATGAAAATGGTCCCAGGAGAACAATTGAATTGTTACCTCTGTCAATTTTTCACGGCTTTGAAACTGAAGTATGTTGCGGGGAAGGGGAAGAGGGGCGGAAATTATACAATATGAGGTTAGGCAGAAAATGCTGTGTTTAACATTCAGGTAAATAAAACGTAGTTGTGTTAAGCAGTCACCATGATGTAATTCTTAATCATAACATTTTGGTTATGCTCTGACATGTATGTGAACATTTGATGGTTCCTGATAAATGCCATAGGAAATTTGTGTGTTCTATTACTTCCTTGCATTTCTCTGGTTGACCCTGTTTTTATTTTCCTATGGGCTGCAGGTCAGGTAACCAGGTCTGTCTGATGGCGAATTGAATTTCAGGTTCAGGATAAGAGATCTTGCTGTTTCCACGGAAGCTTGGTAGTAACAGTGGCTTATAGAGAAAAACATAAGTTTTCTAAACAAGATTGTTAGTGAAGAAGAGTACATACAGGTGTATGTATGTAGTAGTGTAGCTTTGCTTCTGGCACCCAAAATTATAGGTGCTATTGATTACCTATGTAGTTTATGCAACCAAAGTAAAATGTTTTTGTTCTTTTTTATTAGGAATTATGATTCCTCCCCCCTGCCCAAAGTACCAAAGTAGAATTTTATCCAAGTTTATAACTAATTTGTGTTGTATTATATGTTTTACATTTCATATCTTGATAATCCTCAACAGCTGTATTGCCACTAAGCCCATGCAGAAAGAACATGTTTACTCGCATCTTTCACCCTTATTTAGCTGCAGATTTATGTTCTTATTTTAACTTGTTAACTTCTACCTTCTTGTTTCAACCACGTTCTAGTGATGAACGTGTTTATGGTGCTAATAGCTCAGTTTAGTTGGGGATTCCTCATATTCTTACAGGACTTTAAAGCAGAATTTTTACATTGAAAACAGGCACAGTTTTTTCAAAATTATTTCTGACAAGACTGAAAAATATCTTAAATTACCATTAATCATTATTATGATATGTGAAACCGGAATAGAATCTATACCATCCTGAACTCTAGGACTTACCTGTATTGTATACATCTGGTTCGAGGATTAACTGTTTAGCACTATCTGTATGTGGTTGTTATTCTAATTTACTAATAAGGCACACAGAACTTACTTTTGGCAGTATTTCTTAATGTTTATTACTTTCATGCACATATTACACTGGAATAGATGGGAGCTAATTGCGTGAGCATGTGTGTGTACCTGCACAGATCCCAGAGATCTTACTGCTGGCTGGTTTCTTGAAGGAATCGTCGAAGAAATGGGAGTCCATAGCATAGGAACAAAGTTCAAATATTATCTCCTTGAGTATTATTTTATGGTATTTCTGATTATCATGATTTTCTGAGATCAGTATTCTCCTAAAGAGGGTTAGCTTTCAGTTATACAACTTTCATGACTGAACAGTTTTGACTAGCAGCAGTTGAAATCATTCTGCCTTCCCCATTGCAGTATCACAGCATGTATATTCTCTGAGAACGTGTTTCCATGGCATGGTGGAAACGGGCTATGTGGGACAGAAAACTCATTTGATGCTAGTTTTAATCTTACAGGCTGGGGATCTTTTTTGCTTTCAGCTTTTTGAAACCACTGAGTGTGGAAACGGATATGTAGAAGCAGGAGAAGAATGTGATTGCGGTTTCCGAATGGCAAGTAGAGTATATATTACTCCACAAGTATATATTACAAGTATATACTACTCAAGTATATATTAGTCCACAAGTCTTATTTTTCTTACAAAGTATAGTGAGGTAAGTTACATGATTGGTAAGGGAGGGGGAAAGGTTATGGAAGTGAATTTGTTTTGCCTGTTGTTTGGGAACAGCTTTGTTAAAGGACTGTGTTAAAACATTTTCCCAAGTTATAATGAGTGCAAAGATGATAGATTGTCCTCTGAATGGTTCCTGTTATGCAGGTGACAAGGTGTAGCTGCTTTCCAGCAAGTTTTGAATTATTTGTGTACCTGGAGTGGTAGATTCCTTATCAATGCTTAGAGATAGATGCCTGGGTTTGGACAGAATAAGTAAACTGTTGGGTTTTTCTCTATTTTGGAAATATTCCATTTTTTTTCAAACCTGCCCTGTAGGTTTGAGTCCTAGTTCTAATATTTAAAGAGAATGGCACCCATAATTAGTGTCCTTAATCTTTTTTCCTGCATTCTGAGCAATTTGGCTAAGCAGCTTGCATTTGGCACAGGCTATTCCACACCTGTTAAGAAGCTTCCAAAGGTGTGAATGCCTTTGTTGCTATAGCATATTTGTCACTGTTTTACCTTTAGTATCTGAGCATTGCAAATATTCTTCTAGCTGATAATTCCAACTCATCAGTGCTGAACTGAATCTTTTGTCTGCTGGTACCTAATAGTTTGTTGGAAAGATTGTGAAGAAAATTGTTACTTACAATGGAAGACTAAATTTTGCTTAATATTTTCTTCAGGAGTGCTATGCAGATTGTTGTAAGAAGTGCTCTCTTTCTAATGGAGCTCACTGTAGTGATGGACCCTGCTGTAATACATCATGTCTTGTGAGTGTTGCTGCAGTATATCATTGTTCTGTCCATTGTCCGTGGCAGTCCTATGCAGCTTGTTATAGTTCAAAGTGTGTTTTATGTAGAATGAAAAGGAACAGCTTATGTAGACCTAATCTTAGACCTGAACTATATTCTTCATTTTCTAGTTTTTCCCACGGGGCTATGACTGTCGATACGCAGTGAATGAATGTGATATTGCAGAGTTCTGCACTGGGGATTCTGGCCAGGTATGTATGCAGAAGCTTTCTCTGCTTCACTGTTGATGTATGCTTGCACTCATTTTCATATCAGTTTAAGAAGAAAAATCCAGATTAGCAAACTGCACACTCATATGCCCAAAATAACTGCAGCAGGTTATTTTTTAATCCTAACAAAACCTTTTAAACAAAAGAATAAAACATCATAACTCAAAATTAATCTAAGTGGACTCAAAATATTACCTCTGTAGGTTTATTTGGTTTTTCAAACTTGTGGGGTTTTGTGTATCTGTGTAGTATTTGTGTCAGACATCCTCCTTTACTCTTTGCCTGGTCTATAGCGTAAGTACTAAGAATATATAGCAAATGTGAATGGAATCAAATGGAATAAGGGTAAGCTTTTATTAAATAAAATATTTTAAAAAATGAACATAGGAAACTATAACCGAGTATCAAATCATTTAAGTCGGAAAAGACCCTTAATATCATTGTGTCCCAGTGTCTACCACTAAACCACCACTAAGCATCACCTACAAAACGTCTTTTAAATATCTCCAGGGATGGTGACCCAACCACTTCCTTGAGCAGCCTGTTTCAATGCCTGACAATCCTTTCAGTGAGGGAACTTTACCTAATCTAAACCTCCCTTGGCACAACCTGAGGCTGTTTCCTTTCATCCTATCACTTGCTACTTGGGAGAACAAACTGACACCCATCTTATTACAACCTCCTTTTAGGTAGTTGTAGAAAGTGATAAGGTCTCCCCTGAGTCTCCTTTTCTCCAGGCTAAGCAACCCAGTTCCCTCAGCCACTCCTTGTAAGACTTGTATAAAGGGTTCTGTTTTTTAAGAGTGTGCACAGGTATTGGAATTTTAAGACTCTTTCTTACACGTTTCCCTTAAACATTTGGCTAATACTCAAAAGCATGGGAATAAACAGCAACCAGAATACTTGTTTTAACTCGAGTTCTTTTCAACAGACAACTTTATGTACATCTTCCATTTTCACAGCAATTTTGATTTAGGTAATATATGCTCCTTTTCAACACTATTTAGCTGCAGGGCTATATAAGAGCTTTGTAGCTCTGCTGCAGTAATTTACTGCAGCAGATTCTTAGCTTTGAAGAAATAAGATTCAGGATAGATCACGTCTCTTTCTGTGCCTTGGCTGTAATTATAGATGCCAATAAATTAACAGTAACCTCTTTTTATATTACCATGTGAGACATCCACATTTACAGATAAGTAGCTATTGCTGATATTTTATTGTAAAACTTTTATTCTGTATATGGAGCATTCTTAATGGGAGGGAGAAGGGCTTTCTTTAGCTAGAAGGGCTGCCCTCAAAGTATTGGCTAGCAGCATACCCTTTCCAAATCTTCACAGGTCCATTTTGATGAGGAAAAGCTTTGAGAATAGGCTGCTCCTAGCTTCTTCATGTGCCAAGAGAACATCACAACATCATAAAAACCCCTACACCTCTATAAGCAATAGACTGATAGGCTACAACTGGGTGCTCACTCACTCTTAGTGGAACTGTGCTGAATGCAGTGGCAGTGTTGCAAACATGGCCCTACTACGAGCTGCCAAATACCCTGTTACTGAACACATTTGTTTTGCTTGTCATTTTACATGACCTCCTTAATTTCCACTTGGAATATGCAGAAAGTTAACCAAACATTGTATTTCATGGCTGATGATGTTCATTTTTTCATTTGTATTTGTAGCTATAAAGATTCATGCACTAATTATGTTACATTATATTGTGCAGTTGTCATCTAAATCCATTAAAATTCCATATGTGATCCTTTGTATTATTACAGTACACATGATAAAAAAATTGTCACTGTTTTTCAGTGTCCACCAAATCTTCATAAGCAAGACGGGTATGCCTGTGATTCTAATCAGGTATGCAGTGTTTAAAAATCCCTGCACAGCAGCAAATAGAAATCAACCATATACAAGAATACAAGGTTTTGGTTTTGTTTAGGTTTTTTTAATCCTGTCTTCACTATTTATGTATTTTGTCTTTTGGACATCACTGTTGCTTGTGCTTTATGCAGTCGATGAACACTGACTAATAACTTACTTAGAGTAAAATCTGCTTGGCATCCTTACATTTGCATATTTAGCTTTTATTACACTCCATGTTAACAAATTCTTTATATCTACATAAATGAGGCTATAAAGCAGTTGCTGAAATGTCAGTACATGTTAGGCACCAACTTTGAGAATCTGGGCAAAATGTGTACTCAATTTACCCAAATTCATGAAAATTACCTCCCAATCTGCATGTGAAGGATCAAAATGAGACATTTGTTGAGGGAGGGGAACGAATGAAATGGTATTCAGTTCTCATTGCTAACATGTTGTGTTTTGTTTAGGGTCGTTGCTATAATGGTGAATGCAAGACAAGAGATAATCAATGCAAATATATCTGGGGATCTAGTAGGTTGACTTTAACTACCTTAAAATGTATTTTATTTCTGGTTCATTCCTGTGTTTTGTGTTTTTAGGATGTTATTTTTTGTTCCTGCCACTGTAACTTAAAGTAAGTTTTCTGCTCATTAGAGTAGACTGCAGTGAGATCCCGTGGCTTGATGGCCAAGTGAAATTTCATGTCTGGGAGTGATGACAGTGAGATAGTTCTGACATGATGTCGTTGCAGACATAAGTAGGGCAGCAAATGCTGGACTCTGGTGGAACTGGATGAGAAAGCATACAAAATATTGACAACTTTGAGTTATTGTTACTCAGGGGAAAAAATATTTGTTTGAGGATTTTTTTTTTGTATAGTTCAAAACGGATGTTTTTTTTGGTTTTTTAATGGCAGTTACCAATTCCATTATCCCAGCAGTGGTTCATGCTAAAGCTGATTCAGCTTGTCTGTCTTTGCTATACCATCCTATAAGTCAAGAAAATTCATTCATTGGTGTGAATTTAAATATACACAGTATGAATTAAAGCCCAGAGGTGCTGAGCAAAATAGAACTGCAGTTGCAATGGATTTTGGCTTCTTGCAGCTGAGAGGGGATAAATTTTCTGAGCAATGACTTTGAGGAAGTTCAGCAGAGCAGAACTATCAGGATGTCCTGTCCTCTGGCACTTCATACCTTTTTGTGCTTTTTGTCTAATCTAACTGCCATTGCTGACACTGCCTGTTTGAGGCAGAAGACTCATTCCATTCTGGGGAAGATGTGAGGGAAAGAATATAATTTTACCATTTATTGTCTTGTACAATACAAAAGATGCTATATAACTGTAAAATTGGATAGATTTGTCTTTATGCTGCCACCTTTCATTTTTTTGGTAATAGGCACTAAAAGGCAATATCTGTTTTTATTAACTAATTACTTCATATCTTATGCAATTATGTTTTAAAATATTTGGTTTCCTTCTGTACAGGTGATTTTACTGAAACTCCTCTGTCTTATTTACGTTTAGTATTTGATCTTAGAACCATAGAATAGTTAGGGTTGGAAAGGACCTTAAGATCATCAAGTTCCAACCCCTCTGCCATGGGCAGGGACACCTCACACTAAACCATGCCACCCAAGGCTCTGTCCAACCTGGCCTTGAACACCGCCAGGGATGGAGCAGTCACAACTTCCTTGGGCAACCCATTCCAGTGCCTCACCACCCTCACAGTAAAGAACTCCTTCCTTATATCCAATCTAAACTTCCCCTGTTTAAGTTTTAACCCATTACCCCTTGTCCTATCACTACAGTCTCGAATGAAGAGTCCCTCCCCATCATCCCTATAGGCTGCCTTCAGATACTGGAAGGCTCTATGAGGTCTCCACGCAGCCGCCTTTTCTCCAGGCTGAACAACCCCAACTTCCTCAGCCTGTCTTCATACGGGAGGTGCTCCAGTCCCCTGATCTTCCTCATGGCCCTTCTCTGGACTTGCTCCAACAGTTCCATGTCCTTTTTATGTTGAGGACACCAGAACTGCACACAATACTCCAAGTGAGGTCTCACGAGAACAGAGTAGAGGGGCAGGATCACCTCCTTCGACCTGCTGGTCACGCTCCTTTTGATGCAGCCCAGGATACGGTTGGCTTCCTCTAGAACTGGCTTTTTTTCAACTGATTTTTAGAAAAAAAAAGAAGACCTTGTTTGTTAAATAATTGTGGTTTAAACCGTTTAGTTCAAATTTCCACTCCTAGAGAGCAGTAGAAGTTACACTCTGACCGTTCAACCTTGGTTTTCTCTATGAAGTCTCCAAACAGAAAATAAAATAAACATTTATTTGATGTCAGAACATACACTTATGATATACGTAATTTGTAAAATCTTTGGTCTGCGGAAAGACAGATTGGGAATAATTGCAGTGAAAACAGTTAGAGTAAATGTATGTGCAGCTGTTTTGAAGTGAACAAAATTAGAGCACAGATAAATTTAAGTGCAGGAGACAATATCGACACTGTGGAAACTGTTTTTTACTTTTAAAGTTCAAGCAAGTTTTGGCCACTGAGCATTGTTTAAGAAAAGCCTTCTGTAGGTACTGCAGTTCAGTCTGCTGGGATCCCATTGGAGTCACTGGAAAATACCATCTGTGTATGTACGTATGTGGTTAGATATGTGTTTTGTATTAAAAACATAGAGAACTGCTGCAATAACTCTTGCAGGTTTTCAGAGCTGTGATGGTGTCAGTGGAAATTATCTCCTTTTTCACCAACAGAGTCTTCAGGATCTGACAAATTTTGTTACGAAAAGCTTAATACAGAAGGTACAAAAAAAGGAAACTGTGGAAAAGATGGAGACCGATGGATTCAGTGTAGCAAACAGTAAGTTATCTTCATAGACATTAGTTGGGTATTGGTTAATACTGGCTTAATATTGGCTACTTTTTCATGAAAGTGTCAGCAGTTTGTTTTGCCTTATTTTGGATCTTCTTTCCCTCACAAGGTTTGCATCTTGTAAAAGTTCCATTCAGACAAATCCATGGCTGACTCTACAAATACACTTATAAAGAATTCCAGGTTCTCGGAAGAATGTACTTTGACTTTAATACTTTACAAGGAGCTGGGGCAGAGGGCAGCAAACCATCACATGTTCATAGTATACAAACACTTCACATTTGGTAGGGATAAATTAGGCTGCAAATACACATGCTATTTTTACTTGCTCCGGGATTAATAACAAATTATGATATTTCAAGTGTGTTTCAACCTTTATTTTTGACCAGAGAGGACCATTAGACACTTGGATGCTCTTAGAGAAAATGGCTGATTCACTTGTATGTGAGCATGGTATTTGATGAAATTTACTTTTCAAGTTAATGGCCATTAGTGGAGAGATTTAAATTTCTCCTGATTCTCTTACTGGTTTGTAATTTTTAGGTATGCATGTAACAGTTCCAGTCTCAGAATGGTGTTTTCCTTCTTTGTCTATTTGATGTTTATCAAGTGGCTTTATTTATTACATGATTAACTTTTCAGATAGGATCATAAGGAAAGGAGTTGTGTAATGGATATTTTCTATATTTAGATTAGTGTTGTTCTGATAGGTTGTTAAAAACTTTGTATAAAACTGGTTTTGGGTCAGTAGAGAGATGCAGAAAAATGATGTAGCTGAAGGGCCATTTAAAATGTTTTGCAGTTTTCACAAATACAGCTTCCAGCATTCATCCAGCTTCTTCTATGAATTGGGACAATTTTAAGAGGGAGAGATGGAATTTTTAACCTGATATCCTTCTATTAAAGATTGCACATACAAAATAACATCAAATGAAGCCGATTCTTTAACAAAGTTCAGGCACACACACTGCATGCTGGTGATTTTTATCATGATTCTGTTGCCCTGCAAAGGAAATAAAATTCAAATAAAAATTCAAACTCAATGTACAGCATTCAAACTGCTAGAGAGGGAAATGTAAGTTATCCTGATGTGACCAAGGTTTGTACAGTTTAACTCCTCTTAATTGCACTATATTGTAATTAGAGCATAGATAAATTTTTGGTTCATATGAACTTTTACTGGTGCATTAGCGTGAGCGATGCTTTTTGCCTCTTCTCATTTATATCAAATAATATTTTACTTCCAGACTTGTACTCTGAAAATATGTGGCTTACCATAATATATTGCTTAATGTGATCAGCAGCATCATTGCCAGTCTTTTCTGTACATATACTTTGTATTATTCTAGTAACTTTTTGATTTATGTTTTCATTTCACAGTGATGTTTTCTGTGGCTTTTTGCTCTGTACTAATCTTACGAGAGTTCCACGAGTTGGCCAAGTTCAAGGAGAAATTATTCCAAACTCTTTTTATCATCAAGGACGAATAGTGGATTGCAGGTAAAAGATAATGCAAAGTTCTGACATTATTTTACTCTGTCAAACATAATTAAGACAAACATAGCTGTAAAATTCTATGACTTTTTTAGGTAATTAATATCTTACAGCTCAGCAGAATCATTATCCTGAGTGATATTTCTGATTAAAATAAAGCCTAATATTCCACATTTAAAGAGGGAAAAATGTGGGTTGTCCTCCTAATTAGCTGATTTCTCCAGTTCAGTCAGAGTTTAATGCTCAGCATTATACTTTCCTGGGGGATAAAAAGACTGTCATTTCAAAGACATATATTTTAAACATAATGATTTTGTGTCTTACATACTCAGGGAAATAGCTGTAGGGAACTGGAGGAAACTGAAGAGTTTCTTATTACAGGATAAGATGTTAAACTACAGTTCAGTTAAAAGGCAGGTAAATTTTAGCCTGCTGTGCACAATACTGGATTTGTGTTTCAAAGACATTGGCAACACTGCTGTCATACTAAGAATACTCTTTTACATAGTTAGGTCCTAAGTGAACAATGATTTCTTAAATTTCCTGTTATTCTACTAGTGTCTCAATCTCGTGAGGGTTTGGCTTTTTTTTCCATGTTTTTCTAGCACTAGTATTTCACAGTATTTGAGGGGAGAAAAATAAAAAGGGAAAAAAGCATGGCCCATCAAAGGCTATTAAAAGAACCCCAAAGCCTAAGGTGCCCTTTGTGAGTATTTAAGCCATCATCAAGACTTCTTTTTAGTCTGACTGCTGGAACACATTGTCAGTGCTGTGCACAGACAAATGATTCTGTGGACAGGCATGATTTTGTTTAATCTGTCTGTATGCCCAAATGAGAGAAGGGTCTGAGGCTTTTAGTATCTACACTGACATGTTTAATATTTTCAAAAGACTCCAGTCATAATACTAATAGTACCTTAAAACTTTTTTCTCGTAGTGGTGCTCATGTTCTTTTAGATGATGATACAGATTTAGGTTATGTGGAGGATGGAGCTCCATGTGGACCTCAGATGATGTGTCTGGACAAAAAGTGCCTGCCAATTCAGTCCTTGAACATAAGCAGCTGTCCCATTGGTTCTAATGGAAAAGTCTGTTCTGGTCATGGGGTAAGTCTGAACTGGGAGTTAGCAGCTAAGCTTCTCCAGCTGTCTCTGCTCTATCTGGTCTTAATGTAACCTGTGGAGTTCTCTGCCTGAAAGTGTTCCTAAGACCTGTTGATCTGCAAACACAAATGTTTAAATTTAGGGGAAGACTGCCATTCTGTGATGCACAGGTAAGATTTTAGGCAGCAAAGCTGTCAAATTAGTTCTGCAGTTATACCCAGTGTTGTTTTTGTTTCTAGAAAAAAAAAAAAAAGCTTTTATATCAGTTACTGAAAGGCTTCTGTAATGTAGTACCCGTATTTCAGAGTATTTACCATCTTCAGTTAGACTTTTTCCTACATCCTGACACTTCTATGAAATTGGTCTTGGGTTCATGGAGTTATACCCCATGACTTAAGTAAAACTTAAACTGTTGTATCTCAACAGAGATTGTTCTTGGACAGATGCAGTGTGTATCATTTTGCATTCAGGCTCATTATATTCTGGTTTCTACCTGTAAGTCCATTTGTCTAAGACATTAGGTATGTTTTAATGATCTGTCTTGGCTGTAAGATTGATAAAACATTTCCACTGTTAGATTCAGTAGACAAATACTTGCCTGAGGGGCTAGACTTTATACAAGAAGGCATTTTTCTTCCTTCTTGTTATGTGCACTTGAAGATGGAGCGCTTTAGAGAAGAGGGTTACATTGAAAAATCAAGAAACTAAAAATAAAAATGGAAAGTAAAATTTCTAGGAGATCTAGAAATCATCTTGGTACATTTGGAGAGTAGCATGACTGGTAAGAGAACTGTTACCTTCTTTGGTTTGCTTTGGATTATTCCAATTCATAATTTAAAAGACTACTTGAGTTGATCCGACCTACCATAGGATGTGTTTGTCTTCAACTTCCTAGCTAAGATTCTTCAGTGAATACTTTAAGAAGCAGAATGAGGTAAAAGTTAAGCTAAAAGAAAAAAATCAGAGGTAGTACTTGCGTATAATCATTAGTATGTAAGCAGTTTTCTGGTTTATTATGACCTTATATTCCAGTGTCCAAAAGACTGATTAGCTGATACCTAATGATTGACTTCACTTCTAGTCTCATAATCAAAACTTCATTCTTTGTTTTGTGTCTGTTTCTCATGTCATGGTTTTTTCCCCTTAGTAACCTCTTCTAGCAACCCATTACATGTGCTTTTTAATATGGAAAGTTCATAGCTCTCAACTCCATTGATTTGATACTTTAGGGCTTACCAGTTGGTTAGGTTTTCCTGTATCTGGCAAGCATATTGCCAATTTTAGTGAGTCCTAAGTCCTATCTTTAGAGGTCATTCAACTAAATATAGACATAGGAAGTACTATTTTGTCTTTCTAAAAGATAAGCAAGCACATAACATTGCTGCTTAGAAAAAATTTCTGACAAAACCAATGAAAATCTTATTGGTTTTAATACATGGGAGCAAGCTGTAAATGAGAGGTTGTACAGAATAACCATGTCTTGAACCTTTTAGACGCTAATACTTGTATTTGTTCTGGACATTCAGGCTCAAAGTCCAGATAGGGTGAGTGGAGATCTAACTACACTAGATAGGGGTTTTTCTAGATGAGAATTTCTGTTATTTTTTTACATTCTGTGCAGCTGTGTAGTGCACGTGAAGATGAAACCACTGGGGGCCACTTCTGCTTTTCTTAGCATCTGAGTGTATTTAGAGGGTTAAAGCAAACTTTCAGGTTACTGATGTATTATACTTGTGCTAAACACTCACAGGTATTTTCACAATATATAAATATATATAAAATATAAATAAAAATGGATAAGTTTTATACTGTGAATTAAATACCTAACTACATGTTAAAGAAATTTAATAAAATGTAGTTAAAAAAACAATTGCTGTCATTTATTTTCCTTTCCAGATTTGTAGTAATGAAGCCACTTGCATTTGTAATTTCTCCTGGGCTGGGACAGACTGCAGTATTGATGATCCTATCAGGGATACTGGTAGCAAGAAGGATGAAGGACCCAAGGGTTTGTGTGATTTCAGTTTTGATGTTCTTTCAAATATTTATGACATTTTTTCTGTTGCTACATGGTAGTAGATTGTCATATAACAACCCAATATTATTGTACAGTCCTTTTTAGACCCAGACAATAAAATTCTGCTTTGTGTAGGTGAAATAGGTCTTTCTGCTTTGAGAATGGATGAAACTTATTTTTTTTACCTAAATTTGGGGAAGATTTCAATAGGTAAGATTACATACTTTCTGATTTTTCTTTCATCCCATATTCTCTATTTTTTATGACCATTTTGTGATTGGAATATAAGCATAGCTCTTATTATTTCTATAATTGAGTATTTATGTTTTACTAGATGTTTCAGTTCCCTTAATTGTTCTCAGCCAATTCAGAGAACTATGGCATAAGAAAGGGAAAGGTAGAATGTGCCTGGTGAAAAAAGCTTTGGTTCCTTGAAAACAGATTTCAGTGGGAGGAAAAAGAAATAAATTAAGATTTTTAAGGACTTAAATTCTTCTCACTATCATTATTGTTTGCTCTTACATATTTAGTAGGTATTTCAACTGCATACGATGTATAAATACAAAGAGGAGCTATTGAGGAAATAATTCATCAAAACGGTTTTGCAAAGACAAAGAAAAGCACTTGAGATTCTCTTCGACTTGTCTGCCAAAGAATTTTTTTGAATTGTGCTGTCCCGTTCTTTTATGTATTTCCTGTCATCAGGACATTGTCCAATATCAGACTATATTTATCCAGTGTTATGCAGTTACAGATGAAGTTCCCAATAAACAACTGAGAAAGCCAAACAAAATTTGTCCTAGTTCCAGGTTCTTCTGTCCCTTATACAAGGCTAATGGAAAGAGGATAGAGTAATTTGAAAAATATAGCCCTTAGAGCTCAGACTCTAATGGATTACTCTTTCAAATATCCAATGTTTCAAGGGAGGGCAGGGTTTTGATATGTCCCTCCAAAATGGCTCTACTATTGTCTTGTGTGCCTTATTCTTTTGCCCCATAGCAGAATAGCTCCAGTAGACTTTTACCAAGAACTGTTGGAGAGAGAATCTCAAAATAAGTTACTACTGCAAAGGAACCTCTCTAGAACAGTCCGGATTTGTATTAGGGTATCTGTGCAGGTGCTTCCTGGACACCTAACCTGTCAGTATAGAGCTGCCTGGTTTTTATCCTGCCTTGCAATACTGCTTGTCTTTCCATTTCCCATAAAAACATTCCTGACTGTGGAATGCTGCTTACACAGTCTTAAAAAACACTGTGGAGAGCAGCACTATAGAGCTCATTACTTCTGTGCGTATGTGGATGAAGAGAGCAGTATTTACACTTGTGACACTGAAAGTACATGTATTTGATATTGCTCCTTTCCAAATCCTGTAGGTAAGAAATAATGCCCTCTGTAAAGAGTTCTATAGGAAACCTTTTGCTACACAGAAGGTACACTTATCTTGGTTAGATTTTTGTAATTTAAATTAACTCGTCTAATTCAGACTGAAAATACCTTTATGAAAATTACTATGTCGATGCTGAAATAGTCTGGGAGAATGTCTGAAATGAATAGTATGTGCATGGATTTCTGCCAGCAGGTATGGACATGAAGCTTAGACTGCATTTTTCAGTGGAGCCGTCTGCAAAAAGGCAGGATATGGTTTTGTACAAGATGGTTCAACGATTTCAAAAGATGGATTATTTTTACTTCTGTTGTTACAATAATTTGTTGGTGTTGAATTACCTAGAATTTAGGAGCTAGAACACTGACAGCTCCTGTAATCTCTTTCAATGTGCTAATAGAGGAATTCCTATACGAGAAGATGCCAGAAGAATACAGAAGTAGTTTTCTGTAAAGATCCAACATAGTCAAGTAGTTTTTATTAAGTGTTTTCCCCTTATTTTTCCCCTTATTACCAGTACTTCCTATGTCATGCCAGCTTACAAGCATGAAACAGAACCCAAAATACTTAGTTTTCCTTAGCCTGAAATTTCAGTTTTGTTACATTTCAGAAACAGAACACTCATGATGTGAAAATTCACCTGATAGATTTAAGATCTTTCACACCACAGAGCCAAGCATTTTTCTTACTACAGTTGGAGCATGTATAACTAGGAAGTATTGCTATTTATTTATATATAATGACTGTTGACTGCTACTCCTGCTGACTTGTCAGATCTTTCCATCGTCCATCAATTTCTCTTGGCTCCATACCATGTTTCAGGATTTAAAAAGAAAAGTGTTTCTTAATTATGTTGGTATTGATACGTGAGTCTTAAGTTACTCTAAACTCAGCAACCTACTGTATCCTGTACTAGCAGACCTAACCAGCATGCTGGCAGTTTTGGGAAGACAAAGCGTTCTTGCTGTTAATTTTTGGCTACTGCAGAAACTTGGAATTACTCTAGAGTGATGGCTAGGAGTTTTGAAATCAGTAGCATTCTATATGCGCATCAGATTCTTACTTTGCCATTTCATTTGCAGAATTAGGCCTTTGCTTGACTTAATGGAATAGTGTGTGTATGTTTGTTTGTTTGGTATAAAACTTACGTCTCAAGTGTGTATGTGTGTTTGTGTGTAGAGTTATGAAATAGGAAAAAGTTAGAAAACCATTTCAAACCAGACTTATTCAGCAAGAAGACTATGAAGTTTTGTCCTTGGAGAAGTTCCCATTAGACAGGATTTTCAGCTGCTTGCTTGTGTTCTATTATGACTCAATATATCTATCAAGCTTTTAATCTTTAACCTAGGAAATGTGTAGATGTTTTCTCTTAAAAGAGTTCCCTTAAAAAATGGAAAATAAGGCCTCAGTGTCTTGAGAGAGACTGTCTGCACATATTGAAAGTTCCAGAGTGCTACCTGAAGCACATTTCTAGAGAAGGATTTTTCTTTCACAAAGGTCTTATTTGTCTTTAGGCTATATAGATAAATAGTCTTATTGATAAATACAATAACAAATAAAAATATTACTAACTAGTAAAGGAATCAATTATAAAGCTTGTGGTTTTTGCTCTTCCTATGATGGAGCTGTTGCCAAATGGTTATCATTTGTTATACTATGGATACAGTAAGTTTCTGGTGATTAAAAGAAAGTTTTCTTGCTGGTGATTTATTTACATTTTGGCTGCTTTAAGAAAGCAATAGGTTGAGGATGTTCCCTTTTAGAGGAATAATAGAATCGCAAGCCAACAGGAATAGTCTTACATTTACAGGAAAACTTTTCATTGTAATATTTGCAAGCATTCACAGAAATTCAAATATTCGGTTTCAGAAATTTTTAGCTACAGTATTTGGTAAATAAAGGTTTCTTAGGAGGTTTGAACTGTTTATCTGACAATGGACTATAGTATAAAATATTCCTTTGAGGAGTGATTTCATGTTTTCATTTCAGACATAATGTGATGATTTCCTTAAAAAAAATCTTCCCTTTTCCCTCCACACAGTGAGCATGGCCACTAACAGGCTAATAGGTGCAGTGGCAGGGACCATTCTGGCCTTGGGGGTGATTTTTGGAGGCACAGGGTGGGGAATAGAGTAAGCATTTTTCTTAGTTTGAGTTCTATGTCTGGTGCCTAGTGTGTGAGGTAACCGTATGCACCTGAGCCCTCTGTGTATTACCCCATTAGCTTTGTCGTGTGGTGACTGTATTTGTCATGTGATTGACTGTGTCTGTGTCATGTGGTTTGCTCATGCAGTGTTGAACCTTCTCCTGTCTGGGGTAATGTGGGGCACAAACCAATAACTTGGTGATTTTTTACGTTGTCACGGTAAAATTAAATGTCTAAATGTTTCCATTACACCAAATTATAAAAATACTGGAGAAAAACGGCAGCTTGTGATTATTTTGCAGAACAGAGGAATATGGACCATTTCAGAAAATGCAGGAATGGTTTACTGCAGTCTGTGGGGCTTTCACTCTTATAATAGTTCACACGATCTAGCTAGGAAGATGAAAGCTGATGATAGACAGCTAGTTTTACAGTAAAGCTTCTGAATGTTCTATTGCTAGGATTCTGTTACCTCAAGGTAGTAGAATGCTTAGGGTATAGAATTCATCTATAAAGACTATGGATGAGTGATTTTTGTTGTCTTTTCTAGTTTTAGGAAACTGCTCTTAAGTATTAGCCCACCACTTCAATTTTAATAGGGGCTATGATCTATGTATTTGTATGTATGTGCATGCATACACATATAAAAGTGTCCATTTAAGAACTCTCTTCATTCTCCATTCACTATGCAAACCACACAATAAGTCACTGTTATTCTGCTCTTCTGAGATTTCCAACTCTGCTGTGTTTCTAGGACTACGCATTACCTCTGTTGTGTGACAGTGCCATCTCCCTGAAGGGGGAATTATAACAAGGCAGTTTGTGATTTCTAACCAAACCATTCACATGCAGTTCTAATTAAGGCTGCACAGGCAGGCACCATTTGTGTGTAAGTTTGCAGCTCTAGACACAACGTTTTTAGCTTTTGCTGAACAGGAGTGTTACATGAACCTTATCTTAGATTCTCAGAAGAAAAGAGACTTGGATATTTGGTTTTGATAACTTAAACCAGAGACTTTGCCTGGCAAAGTGACAGGCAAGAAAAGAAAACATCAAAGCACCACAGTGCCTTGTTACCTGCAGGACAATCTGCTCTCTCTAGCAATTAGCCTAATTCTAGCAACTAAGCCCAATTCTCACAGGCATTTGATTGGGGGGGGGGGGGGAGGAGGGTGGTGGTGGAGGCCATGTTTGGTGTTAAAAATGAGAGAATTTCTTTAATTGTAGAATCAACTAGGTTGGAAAAGACCTTTTAGCACCAAAAATTATGGATGCTTTATAAAATTGGCTCAGATCCAGAAAGCATTTTCAATCAGGACCTGGTTTTAATTATTATTTAACATAATTTTAGTAACTTTCACTGAACCCAATTGTTTTGTATATTATCCTTTTCTGTTTAAATTTGGATTGAATTATTCCATATTCATAGTCAATTGGTTTGTTGGTTTTTTTTGAAAGAACAGACTGCTGTTCTTTGAATGGATGTGTACTATGAAATGTATTTCCCCTTCCTACAAACATTTGACAACCAGGGAACACAGTAAGAGGAAGGATGTAAAAAAAGAGGCAATTTGGTACTTCCTCATCTAAGTTATAGCTGTGCTACTATCAGTTAATCATTGAATCTCTTTTGTGGAAAGATAACATTCTATGGCTAGAAAGAAATCAGCTTTAGAATTTTTCAAGGCTTCTAAAATGTACTGCAGATAAATAATTTGCTGTGTTTTTAGTCTTTTGTTGTGTGCAATAATTTGATAAAAAGTAAGCCATAGATCTGAGTCAGATGCAGTAGCTCATTGGTCTGCTGGGCCTTAGTTGGGGATATAATGCCTGTGGAATGGCATTCATTTACCCCCCACCATGCTCACTCCTGGTGATTTGAGCCAGGTGTGAATTTAAAGGTAAGTCCAAATAAAATTTATTCTTCCAAATTGTGAAAAATTACCTTTTAATTACGTGCACTGCTCCTGTCTGCAAAGCTCGCTGCACTGCTTTTCAGTCCAGAGTCTTTTGTTCATATTGCTGAATAATTTGTGTAGGAATTGCAGGAAGCAATCTTTAAACCTAGGCAATCTGATCTCCAGAAGCACTGATACAGTAAACGTGGAACGAGTGCAATGGAGTTAGGGCAAGCATGGAATTTAAAACCTAGGCATGTACTTACTGTAGTGTCTGGGACTGGGCAGGTTTTGTGATACCAGCCTAAGTACCAGCTTAAGGCTTTCAGTTGTTGCAGCTGCCCTTGCTCTTTTCTTTGCTGATCTCTGGCTGCTCCTATTTCTTCCTTACGTTAGCTGTCAGACAGCTTTCCAAACTCTGTTTCAGGACATTTAAAATAAGAAAATTTCAGTTGCTCTGTTAGAAGTGTTTGGTTGCTGTGTAGAATGGTTTGGGGAGAGTGGGATGGGAGGCAGGAGCTCTTTTTGAAGGCTATTCCTGAATATGAACACGTTCAACCAGAGTGCACAATATGCTGCAGAAGAACGGCTAAGTTGGGTTCATTTGTGTTCAGCTCAGATGCAGTTAGCTTTACATCAAAGACTGCTGAACAGGAAATTTTTGTACAGAGCAATTAAAATGCTACTCAGGCCTATTGTCAGTTTCCTTCACCCTGTGTAAATAGAGCACTTAAGGATCAATTATGAATGTGTTACTTGGGTGTTCCCTTACCCTCTTCAGAAAATTGCACAGATGTATTTTGTGCTGCTTCTTTTTGTTTCTCTTTTCCTGCTCCACCCTTCCCCACTTTGTTGTTAAGTAGCTTCGTGAGGAGGATCAAGAGATGCTTTGATGTTTGGAAAGCTTAATGCTTTTATTTCAACTTTTGTTCCTTGTTTTATACTACTTTGCTTTTGTCAAACAATTGTTTGTAAATTTAGCTTTGACGTAAGGAAGGAGTATGGACTCTGATTAACAAGTGGTGCTAGATGCTCTCAGTTCAAATTAAAATATCCACCACCCTTCAGGATCTCCATGGAAAAAGTTGGGCTTTTTGTTTTTTTTTTTTTCCCCTTTTTTAGTTGCTGTAGTCATAAAACATACAGCATTCATTCTGTTTCCTTTCAGTTAAGGAATTATTCAGAGATATCTTAGTGTCTTCAGCTAGCAGTTCCTTTACCAGATAATGGAGTGAGTCACAATGGAATTTACTGTCTAATACTAGGTTTTTGCCTGTGGCAGAAGTCAACATAGTACAATGCAGAGACCAACAGCTTTGTTCATTCTTACTGTTAAAGAAAAGTAAGTTGGGCTTACAGAAGTCGTATAGAGACAGCACCTTGTGTACTGTCTATATTCCCTTGGAATTTTATGCCTACCCTTCAATTGCTTCACTTAACATGAATGAAGTCGTTGGTTCTGATGTCTTTCTTACCATAATCCTTTATCACAGGTCCTAGTGCCACCAATCTTATTATAGGCTCCATCGCTGGTGCCATCCTGGTAGCAGCTATTGTCCTTGGGGGGACAGGATGGGGCTTTAAGTAAGCAATGCCGCATGTCTTCTCTTCAGTGGCTATGGCATTTCTATTTCTTGCTTACATCACTAAATTTTGAGTTCCTGCTACAAGATTTCCAAGTTAATTCCCCTCGCTTCATCCCCCAAACTATAACAAACTGATTTAAAGAGAAAGAATTACACGTGCTGAACAAGAAAAGGAAATCGATTTGAAACTCGTGGATGTTATCAGGATGCAAAGTTGAAGTACCATAAATTTACCTTTCCTGACTTTACCCTAACAAACCATAACCTTAAGGAACAAGGTCTTTTTCATTTTCAGTTAGTAGCATTCTTCTCAGAAGTTGACGACAGTGATTAAAAGCCACCAATAACACATCTTCAGGGGTGTCTGTTTTGAATAATAGTACTTCCAAGCTGCTAAACACTCCTATATGAAAAACTTTGTGTAAATGGTAAGTTGTGGCAGTAACAGAGCAGTTTTCTTTGACAAATGTATAGACACAGTTGATGCAGAAGTACCTCAGCTAACTTTTGTTGTGGGTATTGATTATTTTTTTTTTCCTGAATTCACAATTAATAATAAAATCAAGTTTAGGAGAATATTTTGAAATCTCAAGATGTCTCCTGAAAGATGAAAACATTTATCACTCAAATTCTGGTTCTATGCAGTTTATAATTATGAAGAGTGACATAGTAGTCATTCTGCTTGTGACTGTTAAGCAAAGAGAGAGTCTTGTACAAAGACTCCTGCCTTTTTATGTAGCATCAAGTCCACCTACATGCATGGTCCATATTTGGTAAAAAGGATCTAAATTTAGAATCCATGTTTAGATCTTTGCAAATCATTAGAAGTGTTAAGCATAAGGACAAGTTATTTCTCATGTATTCCAGTTACTATTCCATTTCAATAACATGAATCAAGATAAAACCATGATACAACAATAAGGTACAATTATTCATTCAGGGGTTTTATAATAATTCAAAGAATATTTTATATGGCCTATATTCATATTCCATATCAGAGTTTAGAGAAAATTATTCCTAATTAAAGTGACTATGACAGTAGAATATAGTGATCAGGTAATGTTTATCTGTTAATTCACTTTCGAAGGTCACCTGAAAAGTTGACTCCTTCCTGTTTCACTGCCTGCTACTACTGGTGTTTTCAGGAAGACTGTTCTGAGGGTTTTCCCCTGTACTTCACTGCACTTAGAGTTTTCAGTAAATACAGCCCAATTTTCTATCAGGCTTGTATTAATATTTTGGTAAAACTTTTGATTCTCTGAGAACAACAACACGGGCGCATTAAAAGTGATAATGTTATAAACACTGAGAGGGCTAGAAACACTCATATTGCAAGTTCCCATGGGAATTAACCAAGTTACAGTTTGTTGGAAGAAATAAGTATCAGATTATACTTTTGAACCAGTTTTCTGCTGCCAAGTGTATATCTGTTATTTAGCAATCCATATGCTTTCCAGACACAGAGTATGCAGTAATATATCTGGATTGCAGAAGATAACTTGTTGAAAACCCAGTACAAGTCATAAACATAGAAAAACCTGAGGTAGTTGACTTCCTGTGAATCTTTTTAAGGTATCTTGTACCATAACCACCTTTGCTCTTTGGCATCAGTGCTGCTGCACCCACCAGCAGCTGTGTGAGGAGTCCGGCCAGGGACACCTTCACTCAAGTACTCGCATGGAAATAGGTCTTTAGAAGAAACCCTTTGTCTGGAATAATGGAGTACTTAATTGACTGTGTTCCACAGCTCTCAAACTACACTCAAGCGTTCAGCTTTGCATCCTGGTGTCATTTGCTTGCCCAAATGTACACAGACACTTGTTAGCACTACAGAGGATCTGTATTGGAAACGCCTCTTGAAGCTCTTACTCTCAAAAGAGCAAGATACAAATGTCTGTTCTGTAGCAGAACCTCAAAAACACTGGCCTGGCCTAGCTCACAGCTTGAAGTGCATGTTTCTTCTGGGGTCAGAAGGGAATTGAAAAGGCTTTCCAGCTCACATACAGAAGAGCTAGCACATGTAGACCCTCTGATACTTTGCTTCAGATGTATGTGGAGGGACAGATGAGGATAATAAAGAGGATTTTAACTTCCTTTTAAAACAACTGATGTGTTTAGTCTCTGCAAATACAAGAGAAGGTAGCTAATGCTTTACAAACTGGGAGATGTGATTTCTGTTTCACAGGTTATCAGATGTTCATATGAACATACGGTACTGTGGTGTCAAGTCCATATCAAACGTAAGCTGCAACTAAGCAAACTTTGTTCATGAACTGAGGTGGGGGGTGGGGGCTGGAGGGGAAGTGTAAAAGGCTTGATGCAAGTTTGGAAAGACAAAGTGAAAAAACCTAACTAAATTCACTCCTGAAACTTGTTCAAAGTTGTTTAGGTTTTCTAATGAAGTTAATATGTAAATAGGAAGGAAAAACATTAACTGCTGATTTTAGGGGGCATAGAGCCTCTACGCACATTTCAGATAGCTTAAAGGCTGTGTGTGCAAACCTTGTTAAGAAGTAGATATTACTTCAGTTGAGCCTTGCGTAGTACTTTTAAAGCTGTTGGTGTTTAGACTGCAGGAAAGGAGTCCTATACATTTCTACCTAAACTCTGCTGGGTAATGGACCGGAAATATGAAGCCTATTTTGATGTAGCAAATCTCTGCAATATAAAGTGTTTAATGTAGGACCAATATAGGGAAGCCATTTTTGCGATTAGAGCAATCCTGTGCATTGGCTGCAGGTGCAGTCTCAGAGGCCTTCACTCACCTTTTTTTGTAGCTTATATTCACTTATTTTCTCAAGCTACTGCAGTAATGTAAACCAATTAAATGCTTCTGTTGCTGACTTTAACAGTATTAAAGCACTTTCTGGTAATAAAGCAACACTGCTAAGAAGCAATGCTAGTAGAAGTGATGTGGAAATACACACGAAAAGCTGCTTTTTGCTGTATCAGAATGCAAAAGTCGCTGACAGAAGAATTGCTTGTAGGCAGTTGTTTCTTAAGTGAAGGGTTTTCTGTCCCTCTAACAGATGATTAATGGATGGACCAAATACCCAGATACAGTAGATACCAAGTTTTTAACTGGTCTGTGCAGGTGCTTCTAGACTCCCAAATTTTCTGCAAGATAAGGCAGGGGAATGCTAGTAGCAATGTTTTGAGGAAGGAGGTTTCAGCCCCTTACCAACCTTTCTATAAAGTGGGTGTCAGGGACCTAAATGCAGTCATCACTACACAAACATCAGCCTTAGCACCCAGTGTGAGATATTGTCTCACTTTTTTTCCAAACTAGTAGAATAAATGGCAGGTCAACATCTTACTTAAAGGTGCTAATTTTAGTCCTTTACATTGTTGATTTGAATCAGTTTTGTGGCAAAAGGTCACTTAGTTAATGCCTATGAAAACATTTGCTATTTGAAGTGATTAAAATACCCGGTTAAAGCTTTGTATTTGTGATCCCACAAAGGCACAGATTTGAAGTAATATACTATGTAACCACATTCCTAATTAGTTAAGGAAAAAAAGAAGTTCAATGCAGAGCACTGCATCAAGGTATTTCTTATAGCCAGCCTCTTCTGAAACCAGTCTTTCTTGCCTGAAATATTTCGTATTTGCAAAGATGGCCATACTAGAGAGGCAGTGATGTGCTGTAGCACGCTCTGCTTTTTTGATTCAGAATCAGCTGTAATTTTGCTTTTTGTTAGAGACGCTTTTTCCAGTTGGATTACAGACTGAAAGGCTGACCCTCATTATTTAAAGAGGCATTGAAACATTAAATGCAAAGAGATATGGCTAGTGACTGTTAATGCTTTGTGTTCCCTTACTGACGCTATACCTGATGGTCCTTATTTCAGAGACTATTCCAGGTTCCTATGTTAAATGTTCTTTCAGTTCTTCACATGTTTCTCTGTCATATAACACTGTCTCAATATCCTAAGTGAAGAAAGGCAGTGGTTTGGTTAGTATCTTATTCCTTGAAGTGTGTATTTCTGCTGGATAAAAACTAGGAAATGAGTAAATACACAGTTTGGGCAGATCACAGAAGGCATGGCGAGAGCACAGCAGACGTGCCTGTTGGCTCACAGCACAGGTGCTGGCCAAGCAGCCATACAGTCAAAAGTCCTTCCTGGACCACTACAGTGGGGGAGATAAGAGGTTTGTTACAGGAATTGTTCTGGGAAGCTAGTATGGTATCTGTCCTCTGCGCCTTGTCCTAAGACTTAAGAAGGTCCATTTTAAGTAAAATCAGCTCAGGTAACAGAATGTAATTTAGTGTGCATTTTAACAGCTTGTCCTCCTCAAGTGAACTGGACTATGGTACTTTCTCTGCAGTAGGAAGACAAGTTACATCATCCAGATTTTTCACATACATTGATGGTTTAAGGGGACTGACTGACTAGTAGCATTTGAATTCAAACATCAGTAGTGTTTGAATTCAAGTATGCTAGACAGTATTTTAAGAAGGGGTGGGATGGGGGGAAGGAATCAGCTTTCCCCATTTAAACTGGCAGGACAAGCAGATGCAAAGCCATTTTAACTCACCTTTAATCAGGTTATATTGTGTTTGTACTTCCTATGATGCAATTCTGCAAGTTGGCCTGAAAAAATTATTTGCTCATCTGAAATTTACCTGCAGTACAGAAGAGGAGGGATTGAAACATTGAAATAATGTCAGCCTAATTCAAGAGAAGCATTAATACAGTGCTTCTAGAGGGGAAATTATGAATAGAGTGATCTTTCAGAAACTATCAATGCTTAAGCATTCACCTTGCAAAAATATAAGCATTCGTACCCAAGAGAAAAGCAAAATAAAGGATGCCCAAGAGCAACCATCCTCTGGAGGTCTTCCCAAAAAGGAGTTGCCTTTGCGTGCATTCATTAGTCTCTTAAACCACGAGACAAACCCTGTGTATTTATAAATATTGTAGCAGTGCTAGTACTTAGCAGGGCTGCAGAAAAGAGAAAGTCCTGGGGTTGGTATGTAGCTTTAGAGAATTTATGAACTCCTGTTCTGTATTTTTGCATGTTGGTTTGGTGGCGGTAGTGGTGCCTATGCCCAACGTTTTAAAACTAAATGCATGAGCCCCTTGCTTGATGCCCCACATAAAGCCAGATACTGGGGAGGTTGCACCCAACTCTTGTTGTCGCTTCCTAATGTCTTGCTGTTTGACGTAGGATATCAGTATCGCAGGAGACTGGATATCACTGACCAGCTTGCTACGCACTGTTAACATTAAATTCTAATCACGAGATTAACAGAACTGTCCAGTCTCCTTCGAATGCAATGTCTTTGCTATATTTTGCACCTTACTAACTACAGCAGTTAGGGTCAGTAGTGGGGTAAGGGCTCACAGAGGCACTGACTACTTGATCACACTGGAACACGTAAACTAATTCTGGTACAGCCAGGGATGGGCACTTGCCCTGAGAACTAGAGTGTCTGTGCTTACGCATTTCCAGTACTGGCACATCCAACTTATTCCCTTTAGGTATGTGCATGCTTTCTTCAGTAACTGGGGGCTGAAAGTTTCTACAAAATCAGAGCACCGCTTGAAGTGCTACAGAAATAACTGAGTTCTGTATGCCCGAAAGGTCTTCAGGCTGCATAAGGAAACCAGTACTCAGTACTATGCTACTGAAAGCATGCAGTCAAATTCCTTGTTACCCCTTGTTGAACTGTGTCAGTGTGAGCCTTTTACTTTACTATGACCTTGGCAATACCTTTGTTCCTGTTGTATCTAACTAGTGTCTTGCATTTTTCTCTTTTCATCTCCTTTTGGTGCAACCTGGAAGAAATGTCAAAAAACGAAGGTTCGATCCAAGTCAACAAGGCCCTATCTGAAGAAATGTGTTTCAAGGAGCTGCTTCTTGCACTACTGGATTTTGGGTATGATGTCTTTGCTGTAGCTGCACACAAACTAACTCAGTAAGGAAGAACATGAGAAACTAACTATAAACACAGTGTTGGAATGTTAAGCTTTGAGGCAGCAGAAGACTCTCCTTTTTGGAGATAAGTTCAGAATACTTCCTCTATTCACCTTTCTCCTGTTAACATTAACTGACAAAGCGTTACAAGCAAACTGTTTCAGAATCAGGTGGGGTTTTTCTTTTCTCAAACAAAGGAGGAGACACACAAACCAAGTGCAATAAGAGAACTGTTCCAAAAATAACGAAATAGCAGCAGATTTTTTCCCCAGCCTGCTGGCACTCTGACTTCACTTGAGTTCGCATGACTTCCTTTTTCTTACCAAACTCCAGTGGCATGAGGAGCTAGTTCTGAAAGGGTAACCTGCATGGCTCACATACAGACAACCAAGCTCGCAAGCTGACCCCAAGCAGAATCTGCAGCCCAATAAATGCAAACCACTGGGAAGCCGGTACCAGGCTCCGATAGCTTTTCCAACTGCACAGTGCATTTCACCACTGGACTCCAGTGTTCCCTGCTCTAGGAGCTCGCTCTCTACCTTGGTTTGGTCTCCTGGGCCAGGAGTCTGTTGGGTATGGAAGCCACCGAGTGGTGGATGCAATTCTTCCAAGAAGGAAAAAGTGTAAATATGGAAATAAGATTTTGATGTATCATTTTCACAGATTATATATATATATATATATATATGAGAAAAGGATTTCCATATAAAAAGTTCTATTCTTTATGTAAATCTATTTTTGATGTTGGGTTTGGTTTTGGGTTTTTTTGCTCCCCCTTTTTTTTGGTAGCATGTTGTACAGCGGATGTTCTGGGCTTGCTCAAAAAAGGCAGATAATAGCATGCAGATGCAGGGAGTTCTGACACCAAACAGATGTGATCTGAAGTTTGTATGCTTGAAACCAAAAACAATTAAAATGTATAAATACATATCTATGTATTGACTATAAGTCTGGATTACTTTTTTTTTGGCTGTTACACAGATTTTTCCATACGATAACGTAAGAGAAGTGACACCCTCTCAAACTAATCACAGAAGTGCCAAGCTTTTTTAATTGTTATTATTTTTAACTATAGCTACTTTTTTTCCTAAATCCTGTGACATAAAAACTTAAATAAGCCTTAAAATACTCACAAAAAGTTAAAAGCTTGGACAGAGCTCTTCCTCTCTTTGCCTTCTGCACACCCACCCAAATGGGCTTCCAAAGGTGACTGATGTTTCTGACCCACTCCCTGTAACTCTTTGATGCATCTCACTTCTCAAAGCATAATGCAGAATTAGTACTTTGACCCTTGGCTACTGATGGGCAGTTACCATCACAGAGCGTGCAGGATCCCACACTATCTCAAGGGGTCATGCACTGTAATGACTTGTAGGTACGCTGTGTGGACAATGATAACAGCTTTGCAGAGAAGTGTGGGCACCCGCTCTGTTCCCCTGGGCCTGCCCAGCTTGAGAAAGGTATAAAGGTGTCTTGTTTAGGCCTCCCTCCAAGTGCAGAGCTGTGCAGTCTGTCTTGCCCTCTTCACCTTGATTTAAAACTTAAGTAATTCAGTTTGTGTAAGTGAAGTGACCTGATGAAAGTTTCATTGCTGCATCTTATAATCAAATTTAAGAGTTATGTGTTGGATATTAGTAACAACAGAAGTCCAGTTACAACTGCTTACTTCATCTTTGTTTAGTGGAAATCCATTTCCTGAGTTAGCTTTAAGAGCCAAAACAGTAAGAAAATGCTGCAGAATTCCTGTGACTTAAAAATCTCATTTCTATTATATTTCTTATTATGATAATGTTCAATCCAACAGTTTCACAGAGAGAACTACAATATTGTCGTGGTTTGAGCACCCAGGACAAATATATTCTTTTTGTTGACAGATATTATTAAATGGGTTTAAACAGCTTTAACATAATCACATTAACACTTTCTACATTACGAGTTAAAGGTGCTGCACACAGGTAGTCACCAATGGTATGTGTTATAAATCTTATTCTGAAAAATCCCTGCCTGGCTTTATGCAGGAGGAAGCTAGTGAGAATACTTTCATGGCAAACTAAAAATACTTGCAGCTGTATTATTGTCCCCAAAAAGTACTTTGCTTGGGAACATAACCCCAAAGTTCATCAGGGTTCTGCTTCCAAAGCAAGAGTAACCCACAACAGAAACACTAGAGTTGCCAAAAATCAGAAGTAAGTAAAATCAAGTGGCTACACATAAACTACCTGTGTAATAAACCGTTGAGAAGCGCTTCACAAACACCATTGTTAGTGTGTGATGTGATGTTCTAAATCAGACCATAGTGGTCCCCAGCTACTATGTACATACATTCAGTGCTGGAGTAACTTTTTGATTTACACCAGCAGTTTCATAAAGATTAATAGTTCCTGGCTGACTTTATGCTCTGCTCACCTACTGTATGTGAAAACACACATTTGCCTTCTGCCCTGCGGTACACGAGGCAGGTGGCAGCACTGCTTGGAGCAGACACAGGCATGAGTGCTTTCTGTGGTGGCAGACAAGTAAAACAGGGTTTGGTAGGCATTGATTTTCTGCATCCTGCCTTTGCTGTGCTTTGGAAAGTCCATGTAGTATTCATTTGTTCATCACAAAGCATCATCAAAAGAAGAGCTGGTCAGCAGTGCCTCTACTTCATCCACTACCTGTTTGCTCCGTTATTTATCTATTCACCTGGACCAGAAACTGCGGTAACTATTGCTCGTTCCAGTTTGCTGCATGATCTCATTGATTTGACCTGATCCTCCTAAAAGAGAAGTCTGCCTGGCAACTAACAACCGTACAGGTGCATGTTAAAAGAAACAGATTACTTATGGCTGGAGTTTAACCAATTTTTCTTTACTATGCAAAGATGGGTATTGCACAAACAAATCTAAGACAAATGTCTGAGGAAATGCCATAGAATACTTGAAATTATGTTTTAAGCCTACTCAGTCATGTTTTGTATTCATTATTGCTTCCACTGTTACTCTTCCTTTTGAAAATGATTTGTAATTATTTTTTTAAGTGCACAACTTGATGTTATAAATCAAGTTTTTGTTTCAAGTTAATACTCATTCATATCTTGTTGGCTGCTAATGAATGGAAATTCAATAGTCCTTGTTCTACATCTTAGCAAGATGAGTATTAAAAATGTCATGAACACGGAATGGAGTAGTTTTTAATTTTTCAATCATTTTTTCTTTATTTATGCTCTCCATTTTCTTTACTTTCTGTGCTGAAGACACCACCACCTTGCTAGTGGGGGAGGCTGACTGGGGCTTGCTTTTATCAAAGACCTCTAAACTGCATCTTGCCCTGCAGTGGGTATCTCTCCATGGGGGGACACTGCACTCAAGCTTACTGGTGTGCGTGGGACCTGCACTGCAGCACCCAGGGCACATGGGAGGGAGGCATGGGGCCAGCTTCACTGGGTTGAATGAGGGCTGTGGACAGCCGTTAGTTGAGGGAAGCCTGCTGCAATTCAGAAATCTGTATTATGGAAGTGCAAAACATTCTGAAGTGATTTAATTATTTAAAAGTATTTTGAGAGCTTCATAATCACCCAAGAATGCAGCTGGTTTTTGTCGGGTGCTGAATGAAGCGCATGTTCCCTCTCTGCTTTTCTGAACTCTAGGGAAGCTGGCCTGGGAAAGCCAAATTCCTGCATGACCAAATCACTGCTGATGGTTTTTTGCTTGCTCCAGGCACAGAAACAAAACCACACTTTTGTCCTGTGGACTCCCAAGGTTATGTATGAACACACGGGTCTCATTTAGAGCTGTAGAGTGAGGGAACACTGTCATTAACAGATCTACCACCACCCACTTTTATTTCCTGACATTTGAGTGTAAGGTTTATCTGTAAACTCAGCATGAGCATGCAACAGTTTGGCTAGAATTAGAGTAGACGGTCTTTCCTAGAACAGGAGTTAAGCCTCTTGCAGTATATGAATACAAAAGCAACATACAGGTAGATGCATCACTGCTCTGGATTGCACAAGAAAGTCTTTCAATTGTTTTTTAGAACTTTCACAACACCAAGCACTGAAGAGTGAACTTGCTGAGGCACCTACTGCTAAGAACAAAAGCAACACAACAGCAAGTCCTGCTGTACAAATCAAATAAAACCTTTTTTCCTGAATGCGCTTACTACAGATCACTACCCACAGGGGCTGAAAACTGAATTTCACATGAGTCATCCATTAGAAATAGTGTAGAGACTGTTTAAGTGCCCTCAGAAAGCTTGAAGAAAAAAAACACCTAGGAATTTTGGTAGTAATGATGCTGAAACCACTAAGACTGGGAAAACATTATCTAAAAGCTGCCCATACTGTAATTCTGCTCAGAGATGTATTGTTTGGAGCTCAGTGAGCACATTACCACATCTTCACATCTTTGTAGGTCTTCAGTGGCAGCGTGTAATGCAAGAGGGCACATGGCTCCTAGGAAAGCACAAGGACTCCATGTCCAACCAGCACAGACATCCACTTAACAGGTATTACTCCTGAACAATCACAATCTGCTGAAGGCAGCATCATGCAGCATGCTCTAATTTGTAGAAATGGAGCAGTCAAGTGTCAGCCTATTTACTCTTGTTAACATTTTCTTTCAGAAGAGCTTGGCTTTGTTATAAGCCTCAGAACACCCTCAGCTTTACCACTAGTATATAGCACCATGCTGCTAGACGTAACAGGCCGTGCTTCAGGGGGCACTTTCTGAGCCAGTACAAGAATTTCCCCACCAAAGCCAGTAACTCAAAGCATGAAGGAACTAACTAACAAGTGTTTTTTACCTGCTCTGAAGTGGAATTAGCTGTGCCAAGCACCCATGGGACAGCCTGCAGGGAAGCTGCTGCTCTCAGCATTGACCCAACCAACAGGTCAATACCCCACAAAGGCTGGGTTTAGTCTGAAGCACTGACCCAGGAACTGGGTCCCTTTAGGATACACACCATTATGGACACTTAACTGTGGAGAGGCAGAAACAGGAACAAAGCTCCTAGTCCAGTTCCAGTTCTCAGACTTCATAAGCACAACACTGCACCACTTCAAAAAATCCTCTAACTGTATGTCATACACTAACAGATTTCCTCAGCCATCAAACCAATTTGCTTTTGGGACCATTAAGCCATAGGTTTTCATGTGCTCTGTCTGTTTCCTGTCTGTTGTTTGAATGCTATTAAATCTCTGCTTTTAACAGATGACCAAGGCATGGGCAGATTACAGACTGGTAACACACCGCGCTTCCATTACATCCATTTTGTCTCTTCTGCAGAAAGGAAGCGTTCCCACACATGTACACATGCTGCTTTGCTGCAGTCTAACCTGGACAGTGTCCAGCTAAGTCACGACACAAGCAAATGCTTCTTTTGACTGGTTTCCTGTCTGCAGCTAAGGTGATGACCAATTTCTTCTCAAGAATGAAAAGCATCTAGATTCCTCAAACCTGGTGCTAGTTGCATAAGCCTTAAGAGAAATTAAAAAGTGGTAATTTCATGGCAGCTGTGCTAAACTTGCTTCCACATCAATTGCAAGAAGCACTGGACCAACAACTGAGAGCTCCAAGTTTCTCCATTTGACTCCTTTGAAAGTATTTTGTGCATATCCATGGTTATATGGAAACAACAATCGATATCTTTATGCATGTTGCCCTCACACATTAGGTCTTAGATATAAATTTGACAATTTGCCTTGGAACAGAATAAGTGCTGACCTTATTAATTCAGGACAGGTTTCCATAGATAGGGTCTTTGGACTGTAAAGGCGGAGGATTTAAAGATCTATTATGTATCTGCTCTTCAGAAGGGACTCTTCAATACATGTACTACTTAGTGATGCTATGGATTCACAGAACAGGGAAGCACTCTATCAGTAGGTGAAAGCTTCGCTGTTCTCAGAAGGGAGCATTCAGTAAGTAGTCCAGAAGACTGAACAGATCTACCTTTAGTGTCTAACC